TACTCACCAGCCCTATAGATGTATTGATTTAGTGTTTGATGACATCCAGTGGCGTAGCGAGGTCGGGTGTCACCCTGTGCGGCACTTAATGGTGTCATCCCCCAGAGGCGTAGCACCCCACCCCTCAAACTTTCGATCTGCACCCTCCTCCCCTCAAACTTTCGATGTGCACCTCTTAAAAGACTATTTAACACTCGAATTAATCACTTAATTAAGTGGAATTATCATTTTTCTCTATATATTTTGCTATTTTTTGCCTTGGTGTCACCCCCCTAAATGGTTTCACCCGGTGCGGTCCGTACACCCACCCCCACCCCCTCGCTACGCCTCTGCACTTTGACACTATTTTAAAGTAAAATAATGTCAAAGTATAATAGGCTACATATTGTGCAGTTTGTTTCTCAACAAGAACATTAATCAACTATAAAATTCATCAACTACAAAATTCATCAATAGAAAATTCATCAACTACAAAATTAAATCGTCTAGAACATTCATCAACAACAAAATTCATCAACTAGAACATTCATCAACTACAAAATGTATCAACTAGAACACTCATAAACTACAAAATTCAGGCTTTTATCTCGTTACTTTATCATTCAATGTCTTGATATTTCGTTTAACCCAGGCAAGCGAGAAAACATTAACAAAATATTTTAAGAACCGCTGCAACAATCGACTGGGATTGAAGTCACGAAATAATCAAGCTCTACATCAACCCATCAACCTACAACAACCATCAGACAAGAAAGAAAAATGATGAAACTACTGGCCGGATTACTCGCCGTGTGTGCGTGTGTGTACGCTACCGATATCTACATCAACCAATACCAGGGTGCCGATGGACGAATGTACTACATGGCGCCTTTGTACTGCAACTACAGTGGGTGAGTTACACCCCCCCCCCCCTACCCTCGGGCGTTTACGTTCTCGTTCTGACTTAAGTATTTTGTGTTATACGTCATATGACCTGTCGACTACGACTTCAGCCTGATTCCCCCCCCCCCCCCCCCCCCAGATTTGCTCCACTATTATTTTTTTTCACTTAAGAACAATCTGCAAGACAGCAGTTTTTTATTTTGGAGTTGTTTTCAGTGTTTCTTCCAGACCTTTTTCTCCGAGGGGGGGGGGGGGGAGGGGGTGGGCACTTGATATTCTAGGGTGGAGGGAACTAATTTTTCTCGGGGGGGGGGGGGGGGGGAGACACTGGTAAAATTATATGTTTTCTATATAAATTCCATCTTGTTCGAGGGGGTTCTGAGCTCTGCCCCCCTCCGCCCCCCCCCCCCCCCCCGCCGAAGAGATGCCTGGAAGAAACTCTGGTTGTCTCTCCTAGATTAAATTGATGTCCCCAGTTTCTTTCTTCTTCTTCGTTCCTAATTTTAGTGTTAAAAGGGATTCCCTCCAACACCATAAAGTATTACGAGTCGATTTGTAATGCGCCATATAGGGGCTTATACCGTTGACTCCGGTTTTGGATTTTGTTCTATAACATGTGTACAACCAAGATCAATCTGCAACACAGCAGTTGTTTGATTTTGGAGTCACTTTCTTATAGAAGTTTAATTCTTTTTTTTTAAAAAGTGACGGGTAAAAATGAAGTTTTAACAGATTTTATATCTAATAGTGTTACCTCCCCTTTTATATCTAATATTACTACCTCTCTCTTTATATCTAATATTGCTACCTCCCCCTAATATTGCTACCTCCCCCTTTATATCTAATATTGCTACCTCTACCTTTACATCTAACACTGCTACCTCTCCCTTTATATCTAATATTGCTACCTCTCCCTGTCACAGGAGTCTACTGACCTCTAGCTACTACGACAGGCTCCGGGCTACCTACACTGCCCGTAACGACCGTAACTGTTGCTACCTGGCCGACTCACGTAACCAGTGCTGCTTACAAGGTGAGTGGCTACAGGTAGATTTAACACCTGTTTTATGGAGCACTAGATGGACAAGGTAAGTGGCTACAGGTAGATTTAACACCTGTTTTATGGAGCACTAGATGGACAAGGTAAGTGGCTACAGGTAGATTTAACACCTGTTTTATGGAGCACTAGATGGACAAGGTAAGTGGCTACATGTAGATTTAACACCTGTTTTATGGAGCACTAGATATAACTAACAATATTTAACTCTTGCTAAACTCAAACATTTTCGAGTTGTTTTTTTTTTTAAATCTTTAAACACTTACGTTGTCTGTTCTCCACAAGGAAATACCAATTAACAGTTTTTATTTTTCTCTTAACACTTCCTCTTGTCTCTAGACCAATGGTTCTTAATCTTTTTGGAGGTACCGAACCCCACCAATTTCTTATGTGCATTCACAGAACCTTTTTATCGTTCTATCGTCCGCACTGACAAAACCGATCGTGAATCATATGACTCAGACGTGTTTCTATGCGGATAAAAGGATGCAATATTGTACGTTAATATGTGTAAAGTAACTTTAAGATTCAGCATCATTTTTTGTATCTTGGTGTTGATAAAATTACCTGTGTGATCAGATGGAGATATTCATCTTTTAGCAGAAACCACATGCATTTGATTCTGACTATAAATATCTTTAGAACAAGGTGGTCGCAAGACTGCAAACCCAGGGTCCGCCCTGATTTAATTAAGGGAGACAAGGCGGCTGAGCACATTATCTTTCCACAAACATAGGTCACGGTATATGGCTAACTCTACTTTACCTGCCGCATTCATTATCCGGTCCGATAGGACATCTTAGCGACTGCTAATCCGACTGTGTCTAGTTCGAATCCCGGGGTTAAGTGCGTAGAATGACCACGAGTCCACTCAGCTCTGATGAGTACCTGACTAACGTAAGGTAAAGTCGGCTCGGTATAGTGCTGACCACAGTATCGTTTCAAATACCGAGATTCCTGAAACAGGCACACTCTACATCACCTGCCCATTTAAAGTAAGGTTCAAAGGGGTACTTTACTCTTACTACTTAGTCTTGGCGATCAAATGGAATGTTCTGACGTCTGGTGTTTCAGCTGATGGTGCCACTGTCCAGCAATGTCGCTGTAGTCCAACCATCACCTGTGGTCTACAGCCCAAGGTCGACACCACCACAGCTGCGCCGACCACCACGACCCCAACAACAACCACGACGCCAACAACCACCACAACCACAACAACAACGACAACCACAACGACCACACCAACAACCACAGTACCAGCGTCTTGTGAGTATAACTAGAGTTATACCCCGCGATTTCTAATAGTTAAACAAAACTTTATGAACATTTTATTATACATTTTTTTAAATATGTTGTTGCAGTTACAGTAGTTATTTTTTAAAGTATGTTTTAGTATCATTAAAAGATGTAAAAGACATTAATAAAATAAACAATGGTATATGCTACACATTTTACGTTTAGAAATTGCGCCTAAAAAATTGCTACAGTTATTCAATCGATAGCTAAACTTCAAACCCGGATTTAGCTCGTATCAGATATATATATATATATATATATATATATATATATATATATATATATATATATATATATATATATATATATATATATATATATATATATATATATATATATATATATATATACGTGTTAAAAATTAAATTAAAACTTGTATTAACATATTTTTACAAACAACTTTACATTTTAGTACTAATTTACCAAGTCTTATTTCAAATACTCCAAGCAAAGTATTGTTCGATTTCTGTTTTCAATTTAAAAAATGTGTAGCTTTAAAAAAAATGCAACTCAATGTTTTAACTCGAAAAAAACATTTTACAATTCCTGATGTCTGTCATACGTCATGTTATGAAAAAAATCTTCACCACGACTAGCAGCAATATGATTTTTAAAAATCAATTTTCTAGAAATAGTCCAAGTTACTATCGATTTTATTTTAAAAGAAAAACAACAAATGACAAAGTTTTTTGTTTGTTTTTAAACAAGATTAATGTGTAAATATTACGTCATTGGCAGTGTGCCCGTCAGCCTACCGTATTCTCAACGGTATCCCAGTCAACAACGACTGCGCCTTTGAGGGTATCGCCAACATCACCACCAAAAACGGCACGGTCGTCTCCTGCAACGCCGTACTGGTTGTGGCCACAGTCAACGGCACCCTGAAGAAAACTTTCGTCACAACCACAGTCTGCACACAGCTCATCGCGACAGGAACGTGAGTACCACATCGTTAAAATCTTCACGTGTGTTCACAAACATGCATTTCTAACATGGGGGGATATTTGGATTAAACAGAAGTTTAATTCAATAAGTAACATAATTCTAAAGATCAATTTAATTTTTCAAGTGCTAAATTTCATTTACAAGGTGACTTTAAAAAAGCCAAATTTTATTAATTTTTAGTGAGATCAGCTCTGACATTTGAAAATGTTTTACATCAAAATACTTAATGCGTTTAGAATTTTAAAAATTGCACGGAGCTATAGTTTGGTTCGGCTAATGAGTTATTCTGTACGCAATAAATCTAAAAACGGAAAATTTTGTTATGGGTTACAATACACATAAACATTTTTGGAACTAGTTTATGAAGAAAAAAGATACGCTGATAAATAATTATTTATATTACTAACAAAAGATATTTCGAAGCAAAGATTGGAGTTAACATCTGAACTATAAAAAAAATTGAAACTATTGTTTATTTGGCCAAAGTTTGCTCGTGCTCATAACATTTCTAACAAATGCGAATAATGAATTCTTAAATGAAGAATCCTAGCCGAATATGACTTTTAGAGCATATTTAAAAAAAAATATCTCAGACTAATATCTATTTAACCTGATTTTGCTGTGACCACGAGAGAAAAGTCTGTAATTCTGAAAGGCCGCCCTAGAATTTTCTACTGCAGGGTAGTGTAAGATACAAATCTCCCTCCCTTAGTTATCAGCTAATAACTATACACAAAACGCATGAAAATAAATACGTCAAATATTTCAGTCTTCGTTAAATCTGTTCATTAAAATATATTTATTTATGTGTTATCCACAGCTTTGAGATTTCCATTGGCAACCAAAATTATCCAATCACAGCTCCAATATTCTCCATCACCAATGGTAAGCTTTAGCTCTGCGACCTTGACCGTGTGATAGAAGTGTCTGTGTTAGATCCTCTATATCCAGCTCTTGGGTTTAAACCTGTGTATTACCTTGATATTGCATAATCTATAAAAAATATACATTTTTACACTATTATGACTAATTCCGTTTTAATATTTTTAAAACTATGTTTACGCATGAAAAAATATCACTTGCAGGCACCAATGGAATCTCTTACATCACCGTCACTGACCGTTACACCAATCTGCTGAGTTACCTAGGCACATGTCAGACGACAGCCTGTGGTTATAATCCTACCACAATGTCCGGTAAAGTGGACTTGAACGATTGTAAGGTGGTCAGTTGGGGATCATCACAAGCAGGTACTTTATACAACAGAAACTTTCTTCTTCATGAATATATATATATATATATATATATATATATATATATATATATATATATATATATATATATATATATATATATATGTTACCGAGTGTATTTACTCGCAATGCCAAATGTTACCGAGTCTATTTACTTGTGCTATCTTTGACCAGCACACAACATCAACCGCAATATAGATACTCGGAAGTGCAGGTTTACATTTATCTCTTTATTAAATGAATCAATAGAAATGCTCCACATAGCAATGCATCAATGTTCCACAAGAATACAATGAACCAACTGACCCCCACTGTCCTCACTAGTTCTCACACATCAGAATACACGAGTCCATGGTTCGGGCTTCAAAACCTATTCTCACAAATCACAACACGTCTCCACAGTTCAGTCTGCAACCTCTGTTCTGCTCTTCTGTCCTGCAGTCTTATTATATCCCTCGTATTCGTAATCGTTTCTATCCTTTGCATCATAACTATCAACTCCGCACTTCTGTCGTATCGCTTCCCAACTGCGCAGTGGCTTTGTATTCGTTATCAGTCCACACCACCTGCATCCGTTGCATCAGCCCAGTTTGGCCTTGATCGTGCCTTAGTTGACAGACTGTATTGCGTTCTTATCAATCGTCTTTAGTAACTACACTAGTTACATATATATATATATATATATATATATATATATATATATATATATATATATATATATCTTGGTAAATATTGAACTTGAACATAGTGGTGTTCGTATGAAATATATATATATATATATATATATATATATATATATATATATATATATATATATATATATATATATATATATATTTATTTATTTATTTATTTATTTATATTTATATTTATATTTATATTTATATTCATACATATACATATCGGACATGTTTCTCTGTTTGCAGGACGACTAGTGACCACTGGCCTATATGAGACCGCCATTAAAATCTCCCCCTCCGGGTGCACCACCCTCCCCAACCTCTTTGGACTGACCACCTCTCTTTGTTTCTCCACGGTCAGCGGCAAGAACCTCTACTGTTCGGTGAGAATTTCAAATCTAAACTTTGCTTTAGTGATGTGGCTTTAGCTATTATTAAAATATGACTTTAGTGATGACTGAATTAGTTATTTTTGAGCTCTTGTTCTGACCATCTGTCGTCATCTGAGTGTGCTAAAAGTCACGTGATCTGTGTCCACAGGGCGACCACGGTGCCCCAGTCTACTGCAAGGCCCCTAGCAACGGCGAGTGGATTCTGATGGGAAGCGTTGCTATGCAACTCGTGTGCAACGGATCAAGCGAGATCAAGGTCATCCCATTCCCAGGCTAGTCGCTTGCAGTCTAAAACAGCCGTGAGAGACTAGTCGCTTGCAGTCTAAAACAGCCGTGAGAGATTATAGAAACTAAGTCATCGGAACATCATATCTTATCAGAGTTATCTGAACATCATTAGCTTATCAAGAGTTATCTGAACATCATTAGCTTATCAAGAGTTATCTGAACATCATTAGCTTATCAAGAGTCATCAGAATATCACAATTTTTCAACAGCAAATTTGGACTATGATTTTTTAAATTTTTTTTTCTTAAAATCATGATTTTCTAAGTGATCTGAATATCATGATTTTATTCAAGCGTTTTCTGAGCACCATGTTCTTACAAGCTTTTATTTTTTGTTGAGATGGAAGTGAAATAAATCCTGAAAACAGATTTTTGTTATTGTTTATGAACACAACATTACTAATTAGTAATTACAGGTGTCTCTGTTATGCTGACACATCTATTTTTTTAGTTGCATGATATTTCGTTTTCTTATATAGCGTTCCTTCTTCTCCGTTCTTACTTCTAGACTGGAAGAGTTCACTCCAACACAGTTAAGTATTACGGGTCAGCTTGTTATGCGCCATATAGGCCATTGACTCCGATTTCAACCTGTTTTGTCAAACAAAGAACAAACTATCAATGATTTATTTTGAAAGTTGTCTCCCCTAGAAGAGTTGTTGTCCCGCCACATCTGCCTGAGGGTTCGAACTCGGGACTTTTTGGTTTAGCAAATATGAGCTTTACCGACCCGAACACGCCGACCATATAGAGAACTGAAATAGAGTAAAGCTCTAGTCTGGAGACGTGTGAGGGGTGGGGGGGGGGAGACATAAAGTTCGTGACAGGATTGTTCTGTGGCCAACTAAGTGACGTTCTAGTTTAAAAAAAAAAAAAACTCTTATATCTGAAAATGTACATTACAGTTTTCATTCTCCATCAAAACAACGTTTCGATCATCAAATCGATGAAAAAAAAAACAGTTGTAAATTTGAACAGCTACCATAAAGATGATACATTGGTTGCCTCGTAGAAAAGACAAAATTTGTTCACATGTTCTTCCAATTTTTGCTTCTTTATAATAGATGGCTTAGTAAAATTGACTTAGTAAAATAACTATTATTCGCAATCAATAAAAAAACGAATACACAAATTTCAGCGAAGTTAATGTTACACATCCCATCTAAATACATTAAAGTAATTACTTGTGTAAATTATAACATTGTCGATAAATAACACACTACACAACTCAACACTCTGCTCTAAGATCCGATTTTGTCGAGTAGACCTCACATATTTTGATAAAGAGTTAACTAAAAAAAACCATTGAATCTTAAGTTTGTTTAAAAACATATGATCATTAAACATCAGGATATAAATAGGTTTACATTCTCAAGCATAAATTTTTAGGGTGTTTACAGTTTTAATGCAGACAGATCTCACTTGTCTTAGTCACTTGCAGGTGCAAGTCAGGTGAATAGAGCACACATATATGCATGTATGTATATATATATATATATATATATATATATATATATATATATATATATATATATATATATATATATACATATATGATCACAAGCAAGTACTTTTTACTTCATCTAAGACATAAACTTTCTTCATATATATATATATATATATATATATATATATATATATATATATATATATATATATATATATATATATATATATATATATATATATGTCTAATGATATAATTTCAATAGACACATATATATAAATATATAAATAAATAAATATATTTATAATATATATATATATATATATATATATATATATATATATATATATATATATATATATATATATAAATATAAATATATATATATATATATATATATATATATATATATATATATATATATATATATATATATATATATATATATATATATATATATATCTTGGTAAATATTGATCTTGAACTGAGTGGTGTTTGTATAAAGACAACATGTTCTGACTTTGATCACCCCCCCCCCCCCCCCACCAGCAGTTAGTGAAGATGTGATCGGCTGTAATTCAACTCTGCCGTTCCACACAGACACGTACACCCGTCGCTCTGTCGGTGAACATGTATAGCACCCAACCCAGAAACCCGACCTCTTCCTAATTGAAAGTAAACCTCAGACCTACCTTACCCCAGCGGCGTGGTTAGTGGGAGTGGACGGGGTCTAATACTTCTTCTCAGTGGCGTAGCGGGGTCGAGTGTTTCCCGGTGCGGCAATTAATGGTGTCACCCCCCCAGAGGCGCAATGACCCTTCACGGGGACAAACTTTCAATTTTCGATTTGCACCCCCTCCCTGAAACTTTCGATTTGCACCCCCGTTCTTCAAATTTTTCTCTATATATTTTGCTATTTTTCGCCTTGGTGTCACCCCCCCCCCCAAATTGTGTCACCCGGTGCGGTCCGCACTCCCCGCCCCACCCCCCCCCACCTCGCTACGCCTCTGCTTCTTCTCTCCCTGTTGGATCTAACACGAATGTAAATAGAGGTTATAGTCGAGGTTTCGCCTCTATCGCCCACCTACTTAACGCAGCGGTCGAGTTACGCCACTGTCGTGACACCCCCCCCCCACCTTAAACCAGGATGTGGTGACGCCCCTGCACGTAGGTAAAGAATACCCAGGCGTGGTATGCTTTCAAGTTCCCACAAAGCGTGTGTGCTAGGGTAACAATGCTAACAGTATCAGCGCCTATAAATACTTCAAGTTTGCTGATACACGCATTAGTACGCAAGGAACGTAGAGGAAAAATCTAACTTCAGTTTTAAATTTTTTAGTTTTTGTGGACTTAAGGTGTGTATATTCTACTTGAACATCATTTTCTAAGTTTGATTAAGAATGGTGATGGGATATTTCAAATGTGAATGGATTATTCAATATTTTAAGTTGTTGTTAATTCTGTTCAACAATATATAGAACAAACGTGGCTTTAATTTGATTTCAATCCTCAAGTTATCATCATCTTCATCATCATCATCATCATCATCATCATCATCATCATCATCATCATCGTCTACATCATCTACATCACCATCATGATCACGAATATCATCATCATCATCATCATTTTTCTTTGTGCCCAAGACACATGTAACCACTACAGAAAGCTCTTTCCACTTTTGTCATCATCATCATCATCATCATAATCGTCGTCGTAATCATCATCATCGTCGTCGTCATCATCATCATCTTTTCTCTTTGTGCCCAAGACACATGTAATCACTACAGAAAGCTCTTTCCATTTTTTCGGATTCTTGCGATTGTAGCCGTCCTTAACGATAGGCCTGCCTTTCGTTAGTTGTTTTACTATTGTACACCTCAACGTCTTCCTTAGCCTTCTCTGTTTTCTTTTTCTTAGAAGCGTCCAGTAAAGTACTATACCTGTAATATTATCTGGATTCATTCTTCAAATGTGACCCATCTAGCACCATCTTTTGTTTTCGATTATTTTGGAAACTGCTTCCATTTATGTTTCTTTAAGTAGTCTATCATTAGATATTGTGTTAGCCAGTGTATGCCTTTATCCTTCACAAGCACTTAGTTTGGAAAGAGTCTAGTGATCTGCTGGTGGCGGGTGTAATTTCCAGCATTCGCTGATATATAGTTAGACGCTAAGGACATTACTTTTAAAAACTCATCATTTGGTCTCGGATATTTTCTTCGATGCCATGTTATTGGCATGGTTGTAAAGGCTTGCTTGGCTTTAGAGATGCATGTTTTATTTTCCGTGGTGTAGTTTTCTTCATTGTTGACTGTGCTGCGTAACCTCAAGTTATATGAAAGCATTTAGTTTTGGTTAATTTCAAGTTGTTTTTCCAAGGTTTTATGAAATTCGACTTCTATCATTTTCTATCTATTCCTACCTCGTCAATGATGGTAAATCTTACAAATAATGTGAACTACGACAGTAAGGCAACAATCTAAACTTTCCGACCTTTAGATATTTTACGGTAAAATATTTAAAAACGTATGAAATATTATTGTAAAATAGCAAGAAGAGAACTGTAGTCTCGAGTCTGACAAGTTGTGCAACATACAACTAATTTTATGGAAAATCCTGTGGTTGTGCTAGTGTGATTAAACAACTGACCCCATGCTTATCAATGTGTCACTGAATATTATCAGAACGTCACATTAGCTTAAAAGTTTTCAACCGAAGATATTGAGTGGCAAACTGGTCTGTTTATGAAACCTAATGACCAAGTCACTATCGCTTAATATTGCTTGCATCGCAATTTACACAAAAACTTTTTCTGAATCATGTCAGCACTGTTAGAGGGGACCAATGTCAACAGCAGTGCTTTTTGTGTTCAAAGAATAAATAGCTACCTAACTAAATTAAAACGCTGAGAATGGCTTATAAAGTAGGATTATGCGTAGACCTACATTAAGATTATGTTAAAAAAAAACAAGAAAAAAAAACAAGCAAGTAAATATTCATATCATTGTGATAAAAAACAGGTATAGTTTACTGATAAAATCAGAGAGTAAAATATTTTGTCCTGTATCTCTTATCTGCCTCATGATGTATAAAAATGTACTTATAGACTCATTAGTATGATGGTTATGTGCGCTGCTAGTTTAAATATCAATAAAATCACTTTATGAGGATTAAGTAATACCGGGAACGTTTACTTCTTGGGGAGTAAGAGCGGTAACTCTGAATAGTAATAGTTTTCCTTGAATTACCTCTCTTCAAATAAATATATGAGCCATGAACTGTTCAACATTTGCTTAAATTTAGCGTTGTGTACATTGCCATAATATAAAGCTAAAATCGAGCCGAAATGACAAAATTCCGAAGTGATTTATAATACTTTTTGACCAATGATCGCTACCATGTCATACATCAATTATCCTGTTCACTACCTTGAAATGACAAAACTCTTTGAAGTCATGCGACAAATCCCCCCCCCCCCCATTTCCCCAGGCAACCAGTGTTTCTTCCAGACTTTTTTCTCCGGGGGGCACTTGAAATTTTCGGGGGGGCGGTAAACTTTCTTCGGGGGGGGGGGGGCGGACACTGTTAAAAGTATATATTTTCTATATAAATTATATAAATTTCATTTCGTTCGGGGGGGGGGGGTGGTAAAAAATTTTCATGGGGCACAGCAAAGGCCCCCCCCCACCCGAAGAGATGCCTGGAAGAAACTCTGCAGGCAACCACCAAGTGTAATTAACAAAATGTGTTAATTTATACGCTCAACGTTTCAAGAATAAATAGGCCAATTACGTCAAGTTTTTATAACTTTCCCAATCAGCCCAAAACTACCAAAATCTACCACCCCATCCCCACCACCACTACCACGTACATCCTCAAGAGTGTAACTATATTTCTGAAGGCCTCCATATTTCTGTTAAATTAAAAGGTTTGTTATATATATAAAGACATTTCTTTCTTAGGTAGGTGAAATATAGCTGGATAATTCGGAACCGGGTAACTATCCTACACATTTTAGAAAAAAAAAATCTAAGCCGAACAAGAACGAAAATGGGATTATCTTTCTATGTCGCTGTTTTGACCCTCTGCGCAAGTGCGTGCGCAATTAACACCACGATCAACCAATACGCTGGGACCGACGGGAATGTCTACTACTATACTCCAGTCTACTGCAGTAGTTCTGGGTAAGTCTAGGTACCTCAAAGTCTTCGTGGGTGTTTTATTTTGTTCAAATTGGAAGATTTTTAAATAGTATGTAATTTTCGTAAAGTATGTAGACAGTAAATTTTTAAAATTTTGACGAATCATCAAAGTCTTCGATTTCCGGTAGTCTCTTTTGAGTATGGGCCGTAAATTAAAGCTTTTGATTGAGTTCTGGAGTATGGGCCGCCAACTACAGCTCTCCAGAGTTCTCTGTCATGCTGTATTACGGGCCACCAACTACAGCTCTCCAGAGTTCTCTGTCCTGCTGGAGTATGGGCCACCAACTACAGCTCTCCAGAGTTCTCTGTCCTGCTGGAGTATGGGCCGCTAACTATAGCTCTCCAGAGTTCTCTGTCCTGCTGGAGTATGGGCCACCAACTACAGCTCTCCAGAGTTCTCTGTCCTGCTGGAATTAATTTAGCAGCAACTATTATAACTCTTCGTGTTTGTCCGATTCATTAAAAAAAAAGTTTAAATGCGATAATTAAAACTTTGAAAAAAAAACTATACTTTTTAGCGAATAATTTTAAGTAGGTTTAATTTTTCATGTGCTTTCATGTTCTGTTGTAAGTGAAGATATAAATTTACTTGACTTATTTTAAAGTAGATCTAGATGTTAGCTGGGTTGTGGGGCGAGAAAAACAACATTCAAAGCAAACACACGTCAACTAAGTACACAGAGAGATAAATATCTTTTCAGGAGCTTGCTCCAGCCCGCCTACTACGCCAGTCTACGTAGTACCTACACGATCAGGTACGGCATTGATTGCTGTTACCTGAACAGTTCCAGGAACCAGTGCTGTATGCAGGGTAGGTAACTCAGGTGTTTAGTGTAAAGGTGTGTAAATAGTTGAGAGTTGGTAACTGATTCAAGGTAAATAACTGATTCAAGTTAGATAACTGATTCACGTTAAATAACTGATTCAGGCGATGCAAATAATTCAGGGCGGGTAACCTATTCAAGGTAGGTAACTGATTCAGGGTAGATAATTCAATATAAGTGAAAGCTAAAAAAATATATCGCTACATTTTGCCCAGATAGACAATGGATACACCCAGAGGAGCGCTTACCATGGCTTTATATAAAGAGATCAGGGGTTGTCCATGCATCATGATCTCTTTCTCTCTACCTTGGACGGTTTATTCTAAAGGAATGATAAGCAGTACTCTTGGTACCAGAAAGGTGATCAAGTTATATTTGTAATGAATGTTCGTGCCTGCTGTTCTCACGGTCAACTTGTTGTCGTGTTCCAGTGGACAGCAAAGGTAACCAGACATGTCGCTGCAGCACATCCGTGCTCTGTGGACTTGAACCCAGGATACAGACCACCACAGCCGAGCCCACTACCGAATCGACCACCACCACCACCACCACCACTACTACACCTGAACCCACGACCACAACCACAACCCCGACCACAACCCCGACCACAACAGTAACGACCACGCCTACAACCACCGTCCCTCCCTCCCGTAAGTATGAGTAATCTAGTTTTGTAACTGGAATTGCAATTTAATTTATTAAACCACAAGTATCTTGATGTTGAAAAGCATCAGATAGATATGTGCATGCCATTAAATTAATTATATTGTAATTGTAAAAGTGTCTTACTTGTAGTGTTGGAAGGGATCACATCCAACACAATTAAGTATACGTGTCAACTGGTTATGCGCCATTGAGGCCATTGACTCCGATTTCAGCCTGCTTTTCTTTTCGGATTTGCTTCCATAGTCGTTGCCCAACCAAGAATAATATACAAGGCAGCAGTTGTTTGAATTTGGAGTTGTCTCTCCTTTGTGTTACAAAAGTACCGTTTTTAGCGCAATTTCCATTCTGGAGAATTGCGTTTATTAACTCGTCATTTCTGGGAATGGATGGATGAATGTATGGATGAATGTGTGTCCGCAGCTTTAAGTCGTATCTCCTCCTCAACGAAGCAATATCGAGGACTAGTTCCAAAAGCAATTATGTTAAGCAAGCTACGAGGATGAACATAGGCCATAAAAATTCCGGGTTTCTTTCATGGATTTCCCAGAAAAGCCAAAAAACCTCGAAAAAAAAATGCAGTTTTTGGCCCATATCTCAGCAACGAGACCATTTAGCGACTTGAAACATGTACCAATCGATTCCTGCCAAAATTTAGAACAATATTGCCGTAGAAAGTTTTCAAAAATATCCTTTCGTTCGGTCACAATTTTTTTTTTGAATTAATTAAAATTTGGACCGAATTAGTAGGCATATTTATCCAACCACACCACACGCGTCATCACGTTCAATAGCTGCGCCATCACGTTCAATGGCTGCGTCATCACGTTCAGTAGGCGCGCAATGGTTTTTAGTCATGTAACTCTATTGTAAATAAAACATGTAAAATACTGAAAAAAAAATTAATAAAAACGTTTTAATAACTAACCAATGGTTTTACTAACCCTGCTCTTGATTTACGCTACGACAGAGCTAATTTTAGATAACATAAGGAAATTGCGCTTAAATGTCACTAGACTTTTTAATTAACTTGTTTTAATGTGTTTTGGAGTTGTCTCTCCTCGAAGAGTAGCTGTGCCCAGCTAACGAGCCTCATCTGCCCGAGGGTTCGAACTCGAGACTTTTTAGCAACCATTAGCTTTACCGACTCGACCACGCCGATCCCCTGTACCCCTACTGATACATGCAATTACTAACCTATGGATGTGTGCACGCGAGATGAAGTGGGGATATCACAAAGTGATAAAGAACTATATCGTAAAACGATGATGTATTGTTGAGATTACTCACCCTCATGCTCCTGGTGGTATACAGAAAAATGTCTACCAGTTTAGAATTTCAAAGAAAAAAATTTACTAAAAAAATAATACTTATGTTCACTAGAACACTGTAATACGTGTAGATAAACACTAGACCTTTCGATATCTTTGTCTTGTTAAATATAATCAGAATAGTATTTCATTGTTCATACGATCTTATATCATGTTGGCTTAATGTATGCATGATCTATCATTAAGTAAAGATTTGTGTTAGGGTTAATAAACCTAACGACCTCTTTGTAATGATCTCTAGAATTATTAAAAGCACTACATAATAGGACCTTTTTGTTAACAGCCATAATGTCACAGAAAGATATTGTTATTATAATGGTCTTAACGGTAAGTTTACATTGTTTTCATTACTGTATGATTGTTTCCCAGTGTGTCAAACATCGTACCGTATACTGAACGGCATCCCCGTCAGCAACGACTGCTCCTTTGAGAGTATCGCCAACATCACCACCAAAAATGGCGCCGTCATGTCCTGCAACGCTGTCCTGGCTACAGCAACAGTCAACGGCATCCTGAGGAGGACATTTGTCACAACAACACTTTGCACAAACATAATCGGAGCTGGAGCCGTACCGTATGTTACTGTAATTTTTTTTAAAAATTACGCCGCGTTTACACATGCAACATGTACACTACACATGTATATTAGACTTTTTTCTCTCTGTTTTGTTGTTTTTATTTGAGGTTATTTTTTTTTTACTTCTATGATACAACAGTTTTTTTCTAAATGTGTTTAAACAGATCAGCTTATTGAATACAATTCAATAACTAACTCTGCCCCAACAAAAACAGTACACATTCCAAATTAAAGATTACTTTAATAACTATGGTAAACATTTTTTAAATTTAGTTATACTAAATTCTCCTTGACTAATTCCAGAAAATTTGATAACTGAAAGCTTTATTCAAGAATTTATAACACTATAGAAATATAGTTAAACAACATCATTCTTAAGCTGTTATTTCTTAAAATGACCCTCCCGCCCCACCCTTTAAAAGCACTAACAATACCCACAGCTCTCCTCTTTCAGCGAAAACACCAGTCTATGCTTATAAATAAATGGACATACGAGTGGATTTTATAGCTACCTGCATTTTAATTAAAAATGAGTGGCCAATTCAAAGCTTTTGTCACTGAAAAAGAAGTTCAAGAGCAAAGGGACCGCCGTCAAGCTGAGTGGGAACGAGTTAGAAAACCAGAAGATCCTATAGAATGTCCAGAGGAGACCAGGTCACCTTTTGACCAGTTACAGACTAACAAAGAACTGAAGGATAGAGAGCTTGAAGATGAGACTAAATTACGAAGTAGTGTAAAAGGTCTTGATGATGACGAGGTTCATTTCCTGAGCTACGTGTCCAACAGGCAGGTGCAGATAGAAAAGGATCGGAACATGGAAGAGAAGTCTGTCATTGAAGAAATGAAAAATGCTAATGTAGTAAAGGTAAATGAGAAAAAAAAAAGATCTCCAGACAGCAACAAATCATGAAGTTCAATCACAAAGTCAAATTCACAAAAGCTATTATTGCAGGGTGCAATTAAAAGGAAAAGTACAACAGAAGCCAACTCTGACACAGTTGATAAAAAGCAAAAAGCGAATGGTGACAGTGATGATCCACCAGACAGCAATCTGATGGCAGGGATCGCCAAAAACATAATGGTTGTAGCTGGCATCCTGTCAGGGATAGCTGACTACGGGAAGGAGGACAGCAGCACGGAGAATGAAAGCAACTCAAGCGAATCTGAGGCTGACCACATGATCCTACCCAGTGCTCCCACACATGTATACTAGTCATGTCTAGATAAACAACAATTCGCTACTAGTTATTATACACGTTCTTTGAGATATATCTTATCATTTAACATTTGTAACTTGTTGCGAGTTTGTTTTCTAGACATGAATAGTATATTAGTCGAATGCTCTACCATTCGACCTTACCATCTCATATATACGTCTTATGGTATTACAAAAACAAAAATTGTTACATTAGTTAGACTATTGACGCCTGCGTGAGACTACTCAGCTTTCATGGGTACCTGACACCAGTCGGGAAAAATAAAGACAGTGGGACACTGAATTATCCACCTTTTGTTTGTTGATTTTGCTTTCTCTCCTCGATTTTTTAAAATTTTAGTAAAGTTGTTTTCATTTTATTACATGTGTAAAAATAATAAGATCATTTGCTTTTCCTTTTATTTTTCTGATATTCTTTAAAAAAATAAAACTAGTTAAATGTAAATGCTCTTTTCTTTTCAGATTTGACCTGTCCATAGGCAACAAGATTTTTCCCATTCTGGCTCCGATCTTTACATTAGTGAATGGTAACTAGTGTAAATATATATATATATATATATATATATATATATATATATATATATATATATATATATATATATATATATATATACATATATACATATATATATACATATATACATATATACATATATATATATATATATATATATATATATATATATATATATATATATATATATATATATATATATATATATATATATATATATATATATATATATATATATATAGCCTATATATATATATGGCTAAATCATTAAATTTTAAGAAATGAAACTTATAAAAATAACTTTTTGTCCCATTTTGAACTAAACAAAAATCACCCCATATACTGCATTAAATCAGAGATTAATCACAAGAGATTGCCTATATGTTTATGTTACTTCTATTATTTCTGTGAGCTTTAGACTTGAAGATTAGAAAAAACGTCAATATTTATATTAAAATCTACGTATAGCACCAGATTTTGTAAAGCGAGTAAGTTAAGATATCTTTGTCAATATGACTGTCCATGGGGCAAGTGAAGTAGAGTTCATCTGTGTGTATAGATTAAAAAAAGAAAAACGTTATTTTTACTGTGTTCAAAGTTCACCTGAATTCCCTCCCCTCCAGGCACCAATGGTATCTCATACATCACCATCGCTGACCGTTACCTCAGTCTGGTGAGTTACCTAGGGAGCTGTCCCACCACTACCTGCGCCTTCAACCCTGTCACCATGGCAGGTAAACTAGACTTCAACGATTGCAAGATCGTCAGTTGGGGCTCATCAACTGCAGGTACGCTCTTTTGTTCTGTCTTTGAGGTACGAATTTAAAAATAGTTATGTTTACGAACGTTCCATCATTCAATCGTCTCGGTTTGTGGTTAAAGACATCCAGGTCTACGAACGATCTTAGTTACGTGTTTCAGACTACGAACTATTCTAGTTACGTACGTTTCAGACTACGAACTATTCTAGCTATGGACATTTCAGAATACGAACGATCTTAGTTACGTATTTTTCAGACTATGAACTATTCTAGTTACGAACATTTCAGACTACAAACAATCCTATTTACGTACGTTTCAGACTACGAACTATTCTATCTATGGATATTTCAATACGAATAAACCTAACTTAGACCATGTTATTAGTTATATTTCTTATGTTTCTCATCAGCTTAAATCACATTTTTAATTATACTTCACAGAAGCTAGACAACACGCTGTTATTTATAGTTCTGTTTCCCATCAACTTACACCACATTATTATCTTCTCTCTCCCAGGTAGCCTGAAGGGGACAGGTTTGAACGAGGCGGCTGTCAGGTTCTCCCCCACCGGGTGCACCACCCTGCCCAACCTGTTTAACGTCAGCACTTCCCTCTGTTTCTCCACCATCAGCGGCAAGAACCTCTACTGCTCGGTAAGTCCAAAGCGGCTACAGGACATTACCCCCCCCGAGCAATTACCCCAGTCAATTACCCCCCCCCCTCAAGTTATAATCCTAGCTCTAACTCTAAATTCCAAGCCTATATATTACCTTAATCATAACCTTAAGAAAAATACCAAAAACGAATCATTCACCTCAGCCTGAAACTTAACACAAAACAAAAAACAACTCTAGACATTGGTTTAGGCCTAACCTTGACCATTACACTAACCCTAATCCTAGCCCTGACCCTAATTCTAACCCTGACCAAAACACTAACCCTAATCCTAAATATAGCCCTAACCCTAACCCTAGTCCTAACACTAACCTCAGCTCTTTCCGGGGGGGGGGGGCGGTAATGTCCTACTGGGCGGGGAGTAATTAACACGGGGGGGGGGGGGGTAAGGGGTCGTCATAAATGACGTCACACTCGTAAGGGGGAGGGGGTCCGTAATTTTGTGACGGTGTGTGATGATGGGGAGGGGGGGGGGGGTTAAGATGATGTGACGTCACACTTTTGCATTATAAAAAAAGCAATGTTAGAAAAAGAGTTTTAGCCGTTATTTCGAATTTTAGAAAACGGTTTTAATAAATTGTAATAGGAATTGATCAAAACAAAATACTCTATGTTGACAGAGTTCTGACAAGATTTTGGAAAAATATCGATGTATTCAGAAAAATTCAACTGCAATTTTGAGGGGGGTTATAGGCGGACGTGTGACGTTATTTTAGGGGGGGTCTGGCTTTTTGTGACGACGTGTGACGGAGGGGAGGGGGGAGGTAAAAATCGTTAAAAAAAAAACGTGACGTCATTTATGGATGACCCCCTAATTACTCCGGGAGGGGGGGGGAATGTTTGGGGTGGGTGGGGGTAATCATATCTGTTGGAAATTGAAACAAAACCACACAATTAAAAAAAAAATAATCACAAGTTTTTATTAACATTGTACTCGATTTCAAACATATTTAATCTTTCTTTACAGTTTTTTTTGGGCCAATCGTTATCTATAAAAATTTCGCGTTTTTAAAATTGGTGCAAACTCGCTTAAAAATTAAAAGAAAATAAAACACAGTGGAATATGAAAAAAAAATCGATACAAATTATATTTTGAGCAAACGCCTTCGACAAAGGGAACTAATCTTTGGGCATTTAATTACAGGGAGATAATGGTGCCCCAGTCTACTGCAAGGCGCCGAGTAACGGCGAGTGGATTCTGCTGGGAGTCGCTGCCATGCAGCTTACGTGCAACGGATCAAACGAGGTGAAGGTCATTCCATTCCCAGGATAAAGAACACATTCATGCACATTGAAAGAAAGAAAGAAAAAGTTATGTTTATTTCCCTGATTTATTTACACTTGATTTGGAATTTGTTGAAAATAAAAATCTTTTGAAAATGTGTTTTAACTCAAGTCGATTTTTAAAACTGTTTTGTTCAGTTGTTGAATTAATAAAAAAACAAACACGCGTTTAGCTAAGCATTTAGTCTTTGTTGGTGAAATTCAGGGCTGGGCTGTGTCCAAGGGGCCCGGGAAATTTTAAAACTGGCCTCCGCTGGACCCAGGAATGACATTATTTGGCCTGAAAGAATGGGAAGCAATTTAAAAAAAAACCAAACTTACAGGAATTTTATGTCTACAGTATCGTTCAATTGTGTTCCACCGAGATTTTTTAATTGGGCTGGAGGGGTGAGGTGGTGGGGGTGGGGGAGAGACAGACAGCAAAAGATTTTCCCTGGTAGACCGACGGGCCAGTCCGCTAGTTGTGACCATGATACAATTGTAATGTTCGGCTCTAATTTTATGTTAGGAAAAAAATGCGTTGAAGCCGGTCAAAGCCTTTGTAGGGGCTCTAAAGCGTCGGGGATGGGTTGATGAATGTGGTTAAATAAGGACGCAAAAATGATGCTAGAGTGATGGAAAAAACTCACTGGCGTTAGAGAAATTCAAGTATTTGTTTAACAGTCGCCGTTCTTCCAAATAACTTTTGTCTGTAATGTGAGTCCCCGTAGCGCAGGGGATAGCGCGCTGGACTTCTAATCCAGAGGTCGCGGGTTCGAATCCCGCCGGGGATGCCTTTTTTTCTTCTTCTTACTTTAGCAAAATATTTTGGCATTTTCTTTATATTTGAAGAAATATAACGTAAAATAAGAGCTTGCGATAATTGCAATATAAAAAACTTCTTAACTTTTACTATTACCAAGTACTGATGGCTACTCATCTATATATATAATTCTCTTCTTCGAGCCGTTAGAAAACAAGCTGCAAACGCTCTCCCTACCTCCCCACCCCTACATGGTTTTAGTGAGCTGTGTTCACTCTAAATGTTTACAAGCAGAGCCAACGATTTTAAACGTAGGGGGGGGGGGGAGGAGGGGGGGGGGGGAGGGAAGGAAGGGGGGGGAGTTATGGTCCTTAACGAGCTACTTATAGTGTTTTAAAGAAATATTTTCAGTGTCAGCGTTGGTACTGTCGAATTCACAAATTATGAATTATTGAAAATTAGAAACAACTAAATAGCGGCGTATGTTATGCCGCGGGCCGGCTCGTAGTTATAAATTGAATTCTTTAGAAGCGAAAACCATTTAATGTAACAACGAAATCACAAGAATTAACGTTTATAGTAATTTAAAAAACATCATCCCCGGCGGGATTCGAACCCGCGACCTCTGGATTAGAAGTCCAGCGCGCTATCCCCTGCGCTACGGGGACTTGCTATAACACTAATAAAAAAGTCAACACTTTATACAATTTGTAGGTCCCGGTATTTTATAAATCACAGAAGAAATTATGGAGGAATTTAATTTCCATATAGAAGCAAATAAACAGGACCAAAGTATTTGACGATCTTCGTCCATGCACAACCAAAGCGCCTTTGTTGGTTTGTTGTCCTCAAAAGAATGAATAGAAACATTTCCAAACGACTTCACGCTTTAGTTATGCCGGCAGTAGACCTAGACCAGACAACAGAGGCGTAGCGAGGGGGGCGGGGGTAAATATGTCCCCGGGCACCGAACTTAGGGGGCGCCAAAATGGGTTGGAAAAACAAATTAAAATATCTTTTTAGCTGCATTTTTGAATTATAAATATAAAAAACATATATGAGGGGGGGGGGGTGCAAATTGAAAGTTTGAGGGGGGGGGGGTGCAAATTAAAAATTGAAAGGTTGCTCCCGAAGGGGGACCCAAATTGAAAATTTGTCCCCGGGCGCCGGGAAGTGGAGCTACGCCTCTGCCAGACAACAACTACAGACTACTGAGCAACAGTCAACAATATATAGCAAATACATTTCAAACCATTTGTTTGATCTTTCATAAGCCGGCGTTAAGATAACTAGACTGTTTGACCATTGTTTGACCATTTAGTAGCTGGCATTAAGATAACTAGACTGTTTGACCTTTGTTGGACCATTTAATAGCCGGCATTAAAATAATTAGACCGTTTGACCTGTGGTTGACCATTTAGTAGCCGGCAATTTAAAAAAGGAAACCCTAGAAGGCCTATGTCCAAACTGTTGAAACTATTAGTTTGGTCCATACACTCGACCAATAATTTCCTCTAGACTAACAGAAAAAGTGTTCTCGAGTGTTCAAATGTTGTGCTTGATAGAACATAAAACTTAATGTTGTTTTTGCAATCAATCCTTGACACCTTCGTATAAAATGAGCAGTTTTAAAAGACTTTCGTTACTAGACAGTTGAATGAAATAATCTTTTTACTAAACCTACTCAAACCATTTTAAAAAATAGACAAAGTACTTCTCCCTCAACACCGCACTGTTTGTATTGTGCTACATAGATTTCTTTATAAAATATCTGAGGTGGGTCAAGATTATGTATATTCATCCATTTTTATTTCAATTTTACAAAAATATTTTCAAAATTGCGAGAATATTGTAAAAAAAAAATACGTTTCAGAATTTACTTTCTACATTGCAACACTGTTATTTCACACCAACTAACCCATTCCTGTCCAACATCCCTCCCCACTAGGAGATTGAAGTCATCAACAGACTACCCCCCCCCCCCCCCCCCCCCGATTACCCTGTTAGCTCATACAGAGACCAATTAACATAAGGTTAAAGAAGTTAAATGGAATATTTACATTACATAACTCTTGAAGATTAAGTCTGGCAAATAAAAATAAATCAAAGAGCCTGAACCTGAATAAATTTAATTGAAATTTCACAAATTAAAAAAAAAAAATTGGGCCATACTGTTGATAAAGCTGATAGATCTACGGACATATTCTTTCTTTCTTTTTCTTTACATTAGGTGTCATTGAGGCTCGCTTTTAAGTATTTAAGTTAAATTTAAGTCAATAAATTTCAAGTTAACATTACCTTCAAACGAAGGTAACAGAAAAATTGGAGGAGTCTAGTGGGAGAACTTAAAAATTTTAATCGCTATGTTTTTGTTCAGTTAAATAAACTGCAGTGCCATTGAATACTTTATTACTAACATATACAATGAAATAAAGGGGTTATATCAAACGTAACAAATAGACCTAGATCTAGTAGAATTAATGTTCACATTTCAAATTAAGATGGCGGCATATACAAATCAACCCGAGAGGCTTCTAAAACAGAAGACAAAAAGAAGTCGAAGCATTATAATATCTACAAAATTTTATTAAAATTACTATTATTTATTTTCAATGCATCTACATAAGTCCATTTTTTAGGACTGTTATAATGTTTTATGTATGCCAAAACCATTATGTACCAAGTTTTTGTTTGTAATTAAACTTTTTTTTTACAAAAGCCGTTTTTGTTATATTTTACTGACTTTGAATACGCACCATTTAAATAGAATTACTAAGTGAGTGAAGCGGTGATTGAATAACTCAAAGGTTGTTTCGTTTGATTGAAGTACAGGTTAGTGTGCGACCGTCTGATTCATATTTTGGTATGGTAAAGTCAACAATGAGAAGACTTACTTCAAACCTCTGTGTGGGTGCACTAGTGCTGTGTCCTGGTAAATATTTGATGCTGGGCCTAACGTTTACATTAGGCTAACTCCGAGGGAACATCACAGTGTACATCTTAGCAGGGGCGTATCTTCAGAAGGTAGGGTGCTCTGAGAAATATAGGCAGTAGACTGAAGAGGGGAATTAAATAAAACATCAATATTCCGTGAGGGATTGCAGAACATTTATTGTAGTGCCCCAATGATCCTATGGGATAAGGGACGATTGGTTGATTAGTATTAATGCATAATATATTTTAATCGTTAACCTCTCGTCTATCATTGGTATTCTATCGTATGACCTTCTAACTCTTATTCTTACTTCTCAGCTGAGTTTCTTTCAGGCATCGCTTCAGAAGGGGGAGAGCAATGCCGAATTGGAATATATATATATATATATATATATATATATATATATATATATATATATATATATATATATATATATATATAAAATTTATTTTAGAAAATACATACTTTAACATGTGTCCGCCCTTTCTTCGAAAGTTCCAAGTGTACCTTCTCCCTCCACCATTAGTCGCATTAATAATTCTACTGTATAGAAGTTACTGCACACGTACTGAATCCATCACTGAATATATATATATATATATATATATATATATATATATATATATATATATATATATATATATATATATATATATATATATATATATATATATATATATATATATATATATATATATTCTAAGGAACACTTGAAATCTTGAAATTTTCCGGGGGAGGGGCGGACTAAAATTTCCGGAAGGGGGGGAAGAAGGAAGACACTGTTACCAGTATTTATATTCTATATTAATTCAATATCGTTCAACAGATGCCTGGAAGAAACTCTGAACCAAACCTTGTCACCAACAGTGTGACATTAACATACCGTTAAACCACTAATAACCGAAACTTTAATCCCCCCCCCACCAAGGTGACCAAGGCGCCCCTGTCTACTGCCTAGCTCCCGCACACAGAGAGTGGATCCTTGTGGGGAGTGTCACCTACCACCACCTGTCGTGTAACTCGTCTCCAGAGTTCAAGGTCATTCACTTCCCTGGCTGATGACGACCTTGACATAACTTCTTTAGTACACCCAGAAAAGAATTCAAGATATGAGACCAAGGACAAGATTTGGAATACGAGTCCACAACAGATACAATTATATTGAACGAGCCGTCCCGCGGCATATCATACGCCGCTATTTAGTTGTTTTTTTTTCTACTTTTCAGTTATTCATAATTTGTGAATTCGACATTACCACTGAAAATATTTCTTTAAAACACTATAAGTAGCTCGTTAAGGACGATAACCCCCCCCCCCCTCCGTTAAAGTAAACTCCACTTAGTTCCCCCCCCCCCCCCCTACGTTCAAACTAAATTATCTGCCCCGAATAGTCGTCACTAAACCCGGCTCTGTTTGTAAACATTTAGAGTGAACCACAGCTCACCAGACCATGTAGGGGTGGGGGTGGTAGGGAGCGCGTTCACAGCTTGTTTTCTAGCGTCTCCCAGAAGAGAATTATATATATAGATGTATATATATATATATATATATATATATATATATATATATATATATATATATATATATATATATATATATATATATATATATATATATATATATATATATATATATATATATATATATATAATTTAATGTTATATATAATATCGGTTATTTAAAACAACCATCATGCTGAAACTGAACTCACAGATTTAAAATGCAATTGATATTATAGGCCCCTAGGCCTATTTGATTTTCATTTGCATAGTTCTTGAAATATAATAACAACAATTTTATTTTTAATATCTGTTGTACTACACAGGTATAAGTCCCCGTAGCGCAGGGGATAGCGCGCTGGACTTCTAATCCAGAGGTCGCGGATTCGAATCCCGCCGGGGATGTTTTTTGTTTAATTAGATTATTATAAATGCTATTTAATTTTCCGTTGATAGACCCCACAACTTAGTCTGGAGCCACACGCCACCCAGGGTTGGTGATGTATCATGTTCCAGTATATGTGATTTCACTCTTCAGATTGAAATCACACCAGCTGCCTAAGGGCACACTCGAAATTTACAATCACTTTAACTGTTAGTCCCGTAATGTAGTTTACGTCACCTAATGCAGGCGAGGCAACATCTTTAATAGTAAACAAACGGGGAAACGACTGTCTGACAGGGTAAAAATACACCTACGGTCAATTAAAAATGATATTAAAACTAGAACTTGTTTCATACGATGATATGGCACTCGTGCACAGGGTGATTTTAAATGAACAGGTATCTTCATCTATACCCCCTACCCCAACCCCTAAGCGTCTTCTATCAAGCATCTATTCATTTGGATTTCGTGGCCTTTGAACAAGACGTGTTTTCATTGTCAATTTAAGTCACCGTCTTCTTTTGTCTAGTCTTTGACACTGTGTGCTGACGAAGACCTTGGGTCAGAACGTCATTTGTATCTGTAATTGTATTTACTTTGTGAGAATACTAACACTAATAAAGATGACACTTTCCAAAAAAAAAAACAAATACCATCCCCGGCGGGATTCGAACCCGCGACCTCTGGATTAGAAGTCCAGCGCGCTATCCCCTGCGCTACGGGGACACATGGATAGCTAAAATACATTAGGTCATGAACCGATTTTCGGAGATTTAAACTCTTAAACACCAAGCAGTACCAGTACGTTCGTGGTCAAACTTTGTTACTCACTTTTGGCCCAATATTAACGGTGCTGTATTTGCAAGTACAAGAAAGCACCCCTCCGACATAGTGAAATAATATCTAACGCTTAATATCTCTAGTTAGATTATAAAAATGATATTTTCAAGAAAATTAGGGGGTGGGGGGAGTTCATAATTTTAGACGGGGTAGGAGCAGGCTTTTTGTGACTAGGTGTGACAATGGGGAGAGGGGATAAAAATTGTCAAATAAACCTGACATTGGTAGTTGATGTCCCTTTGATGGCCCATAAGTTACATTCAAAAACAAAAGGAGGGAAAACTTGGTTGTATTTGTAGGCTAGTTATTCATGGTTCCACGACTATTTGCCTAAATAAGCTGTGTCTAAGAGCTTGTCTAACGAGATGAATTTAAGCTACCGACGTTTGGTCTAGCGATATCAATTTTAACCACCGACATCAATTTTAACCACCGACATCAATTTTAACTACCGACGTTTGTTCTACCGATGTCAATTTTAACCACCGACATCAATTTTAACTACCGACTCTTGCTTTACCGACATTTGGTTTATCGGATATATGGTTAAACTGGTTCCTACCACATTAAGATTTTTTTCAAATAACAGTTAATAACTGGCTGATGAGCAATAGGTTCCACTAAACACAACGTGAATGCGGATGGGCAGGAAAATAATAAATACCCAATTATATGTAATTTATTTACTTTCTCGTATCAGAAGAATAGAGAAAGTATTGTAATCGCGCAAAAGTTAATTGAACATTTGGCGTTTCACACCTCGCTGAGTCGGAAAAAACTTTGTTTTGCAATTTAGCCTGTGTTTGTGAAAAAAAAGATAACTTGAGTACCTTTTTCATTGGGTTACGAAATTTCATACTTAGGTACCATCTCAAATTTATAGTATTCTGTCAACTTTTGAGCGATTTCCGTTAAACGGATGTGGCACGTACTTTCGGCTTTAATTTAGGTAAACGAAATGTCACAAATAAATAATAAATATTAAATTGTATGCGCAGGTTCCTAACAACTTTTGAACGATTTCCGGTAACCGGAAGTGGAACTTTACTTTATTTCTGTGGGAACTAGATAACATGAGTAGAGGCAGGACTGTCATGGAGACTGCCAGGAAAATTGGAAAATTTCCGGTGACGGACAAAAGTATAGAGGGAGCTTAAGTTGTCATCCATAAATGACGTCACGCCTTTTTTGGACGACCCCCCCCTCCCCTCTGTCCCAAAAAGCCAGCCCCCCCCCCCCCCCTAAAATGACTTCACACCTCAGCCTACAACCCCCCCCCTCAAAATCGCAGTTGAATTTTTCTTAAAACATCGATATTTTTCCCAAATTTTGTCTGAACTCTGTCAAAATAGAGAATTTAATCAATTCCTATTACAATTTATTAAAACAGTTTTCTAAAACGCGAGATAATGGCTGAAATTAGTTTTTTTTAACATAGCTTTCTTTTTAAATGCAAATAGGTGACGTCACACCATATGACAAAGTTACGGACCCCAACCCCCTCCCCTCTACGAATGTTACGTCATTTATGGACAACCCCTAAACAATAAAAATAAACCGGGAGTAATCTCCCCTAAACTTTCTCGAATATTCTTATATAAAACAACAGGGGAGGGGAACTCGGGATATAGTTATGATTTTTAATCCATTTTAAATACTTAAACTTTTTAAAATAGAATAGAATCTCACAGAAAAAAGAATTGCGCACCAAGCGAATGCCGAATAAAGATGAGTATAATTTATAATAGTGCCGATTATTATTAGTACTTTATCAATTCACATGCGTTTTTTGATAAATCGGAAAGAGTGAAAATTACTACTTCCGGTCAACGGAAATTACTCAAAATTTGATAGAAGGCAGAAAATTAGATTTTTTACTTTCATGTGAAATTTCATTTATCTATCTGAAATAGTGCTCAAGTTATAGGCTTTTGATGTTTTTGAAAAATTCAAAGTAGAAAAAGTTCCACTTCCGATTATCGGAAATCGCTCAAAAGTTGATACGGATCTACGATTTTGATATAATACTTATATATGTAACGGTTCTCAAGTTATCGTGTTTACACACACACACACACACATACACACACGGACAAGATTGCAAAACAATGTTTTTCCGACTCAGGGAGGTGTAAAAATCTGGATTTTTTTTTTGCACGATTACATAACTTTCTCTATATTTCGTATATACGAGAAAGTAAAAAAGAAAAAAAAAACATTATCCTTGTCCGTTAATGGATGTACGATAAAGTTCAAAGAAGATCACTCCCGCTTAATTTTTTAGAATAAAAAGTAAACAAAATGGGCACATTCCCGGTGGGATTTGACCCGCGATCATTGGATTAGTTTTTAGGTAGCATTGTTGTTTATGAGACTGCACTACTGAAATTAAAACACGTACATTTTAAAGATCTAGTCACAGATAGACATACACATAGAACTTTATTTACTACTTTTTATTACTACTTTTTGTTTATAGCACATCAAAGCAGCATTGTACACATTACACATTGAAACCCACCCAAAAACCAATTATCTTCAAAACAAATTAGAACTCCCAACTATAGTAATACATCCGCAGTGATTTAATTAAGACGTTTGATTTCTTAGATTCTATTAGACAAAACTTTTTATTCTGAAGTGTATGCTGTTGTTTTGTTATCTAATCTAAATGATAAAGATTTAAAAATTGGAGAAAAAAAAGTTGTCCACATCCCCGGCGGGACTCGAACCCGCGACCTCTGGATTAGAAGTCCAGCGCGCTATCCACTGCGCTACGGGGACTTGTTTAATTGTGACAGAACCTAGCACCTAACCGACGCGTAACTGCAATAGAAGATAGATCTAGATTCTAGAATCAAGACTTACTCATAGCTTTTATCATAGGCCTAGATCTAGTCTAGATTGAATATTTTATTTCTTAGGCCTATGTAATTTTCTTTGGTAGTTGAAAGCTTGAGTTTAACGGTGTATTTTTCCGATCTATTCTAGATTGTATAGAATCTACCTATTCTTGATGCAAAACTTTCAAGATTCTAAATAATAAAATAATCTAGGACTAGAATCTAGATTTCTAGATCTAAGACAATCTAAGTCTAGGTTTCTAGATTCTAGATGTCGGCAGTTTAAATACGAGATTTCTATTCTAGATTTCTAGAGAATGGACCTAATCTCAGACTAATCTGTTAGTTTATAAATAAATGAGTCATAACTTATTAACTAGATCTAGATCTAGATTCTAGATCTACTAGATCTACAATCTACATTGAACATCTGACATCTACTCTAGATTAGCGAGATTTTATATTATGATCTAGATCTAGATCTAGATCTGATCTAGTCATAGATAGATGTAGATCTAGATCTAGACTTGGACTAGATCTACTTATAGCTCTAGATGTAGATCTCTAGGGACCTGGCCTGTCACCGGCCGAGTTTTGTCGTTATGTAGCCTAAATCTATCTATAAATAAAGTAGGCCTATGTAGGCTAGTAGAGTTTTCCCACAATACAAGGGAAGTTAACAGAGCGGAAGTAGTGAGGTGAAAATAAACAAGAGGAAAACACAACCCACTAAAAAAATACGTTTTATTAATCAAACTGTTTATGATTGATTTCAACGCGCACATTATCATACAGAATGAGATCATTCTAATTTAAAATAATGGTATTACGAGTTTTATGTTAATAGATTATTCTAGATCTAGATCTATTTAGAGTTAGATCTACTGTTTTAAACTTTTTAGAGTTAAAATCTCTTTCTGAGACCGAGTCGAGTTCATCAGTTCAGATTTCAGTTCAGAGCTGAGAGACGCTCAGACTTCAGACGGAGTGTGTATCACTGACTGTAGAATCTAGACTCTAGGCCTAATCAAATCGTGTAAAACTTAAGAGTAAAGAGAGATTACAGACGTCTTCTTAGTAAGAATCTTACATTCATGACTCACAACTGTTGTCTCTTCTAAATTAAGTCTGAATTTCTTAGTCTGACTTTTAGTCTTGTCTTAGTACTCTCTGAGTCCCCTCAAAGTCCTCAAGTATCAGGTTTTAAGTCAGTGAGTTTATTGAGTTTAAAGTTTAATTATTATAATTAATATTAATTAAAATTAAAGACTAAAGATCAGTAGGCTACATACTATCACTAGATTCTAGATCTTACTTAATATAATATTAGATTCTAAATATTTAATAATTTTATTAATAGCACTGCTAGCTAAAACACTACAGTGGTTCTTAACCTTTTGAGTTGTTATGACACTAAAATAAAAACCCACCAGTTTAATATGCACATTCACAGAACCCTTCTTAACCATTTGAACCTGAGGTACCACTTTTCGGTACTGGTCTCAAATCTCCATGCCCTGAGATAAAAGAGTATTAGACACCTTACCTCAGATTACTTACCTCAGATTTACTGTTCATACGTAAAAATGTGATATTAAAAAAGTACGTATCTTGTAGTGTACTGTTTGACAGAATCTGGACAAAAGACAGACAGGAAAAAATGTCGACATCTAAAAGGCTGACAGATCATAAGGCTGACATCTACAACCCTAAAGGCTGACATACTGTAAGACTGTAAGGCCATGTTTTCAATTTAAAAATTATGAAAGAAAATGTGTACAAATCCAAATGCACATTGCTTAATCTATAAATTTAGATAGCTTTAATTAACACATGGAGATGCTGATTCCTATCAAGTTCAGTTATACATGTCAATATGTATTGTACTTTTTTGTCCGACTATTTTATTTTATGGTTGTCATAAATAGTATGAAGGGACTAAAGTATTAAGAAAGAAATTACCAACTTGACGTACCATCAAGACAATCCCAAGTCGACTACTGGGCAGCGTTATAGAAATAAAATGTATGTTTGTTCCAGCATGCGATCAAAACGCACCTGTTTAGGTTGTGTTGATATCGTTCGTGTTTTGTGATATCAAGGGTTCCATGATAAATTGATATAGAAATATGACACAGATGGTGTTATTTTGCTCTGGTGCACTTTATTACTATGTCTTGCCGTTGTGCTTGCATTGTTTTTTTTTTGAACTGTCAACAGCCACGACCATTACTTCTGTTGTCCACAATGACAAAATTAGATAGTAAATCATATGAATCGGGTTTGTGTCATGACCTCTTCAGAACCCCTGAGACTGATTCACCAAATTCCTATGGTTTGATTGAACCCAGGTTAAGAATCACTCATCTAGACTAGAGTAGGGCTAGGATTGTAAACACCTTTAGTCTACCAGATCTTATATTATAGAATAACAGAAGGCCTATACCGAAACAGATTACTCATGGTACTGATTACACTAGCCCACAATACTACATTTTTCTACAATGACTGCATGTATACACAGCAGTCATATAATTTTATAATAATATACACTAATACAGTCTGTACGATGAGAGTCACACTACTTACAGTCTCACATATAAAATTAACCCAGTTGTCAGTGTGTCCTATGAGAGTGGAGGTGGGGTTAAGAAATTAAGAAATATAATGTGGCATTAATTTAATCTTTTTAAATTGACTTAATCTTTTAAAGTTAAAAACTGATGAAAAAAATTTTGTTTATTTAAATCACAGTAACAGTTAATGATGTGATCTTCTAGTCACAAAATTCTGAATCCCCCCCCCCCCCCCTGCTTCTCTAGTAGTGTGACATAATGACATAATTTATGGGAAACCCATTTGTGTTGTGTCTAACACATGATAACACCTGGAACTAATGAATCTTTCGAATTTAAAAAATAATGCTTTTACTTACTTATAGTATAAAGACATACATTTTTGCTTTATTTTCTAATATTCTTAAATTTAATATTAGATACTTATAGATGAATAAGACAATGTAGTTTTGGCTTAAAGCTGTTAGTTATCTCTGCATAAATAATTGTGAAGTAACTATTTAAAGCTATATTTTTTATTTCAACATCCCCTGGTCCCATTTGATCATTGTAATTGCACCATGTGCTCAAGAAGTGAGTTGTGTCTTGATGATTGAGTGGCTGAGTTGGTAGGACTGTCTGGCTAAAGGCCAAGTGGTGGTATGGTACAATTCAATCCCCTGGTTATCATGTTTGTCTGTCTACAACCAACTGATTAAACTTGGTTACTCTACAGATCAGTTAGATACTAATGTGGTGTCTTGCTTGTATGAAATAAGGGGGGGGGATACCAGGTACTGGATGCTTGTCTTAACTGTGGGGTGATAATGTTAAGCTTATCTAAGAAATACAAGCACAGGGTCAAGGGTATGAAACTGACAAGCCTGGTTTGATAAAGTTTAGTAACAATCAGTTGTTTGTATTTGTAGCATCCTGTTGGCTTGTGATGTTCCCATTCAGTCTGTGTGTTATTTTTAAAAGGAAGTTCAAACCTTGTTTTTTAATTTCAAGTGTGGATATATTTTTTTTATTGCTGAAATGGTGTGATGTTGACCACAGTAAGTTTTAAGTGGTAAGCTTTCACACAGTTTTAAGTAGTTGTGTGCACATTTGATCTTAGGTTTTCTATGAAATCAATGCAGTTGTATGCTGTAATGAAAACAAGGAATTAGAAATATTTTTTTAAATGATTAAACACATTCAGGCTTATTTGTTTTGTTTTTTTGTCAGCCTGATTTACATGAAGATGCCTGATTTTAGAGATTTACCCTAACATGTTACTAATGAAATCACTAAAGAAGGTCAGCTATGATTGGAATGCATTAGGATAGGTCATTATAGGTCATAGGTTAATGAAGCTAGTTTAGTGTTATCTTGTAATATTTGAGAGTGTTGTTATTCTAAAAAGTGTTTGGTAATATTTAAAAAAATATGTTTTGAGTTTTAATATAGATCTGTCTCCCTCTTTATTTTAATAATAATTTCAGTTTATTTCTGACCTATTTTGTTTATCATCCATATCGTGCTATTTTACTTTTTCTTAGTTGAGCTGTTACTGGTTGTAAAATATAACAAGTTTATTCATTGATTATTATTTAAATACATATAAAACAACACAGGTTTGACAAAGGTTTGAAAACCTGTGTCTTTTGTTTAACGACAATTCTCTATGTTTATGTTTTATATTATTTTAAAACTTTTATTCAGGAGTGTGTTTTTTTTCAGATTTCCATGATGGCATATGACACATGTAATAGGAGGGATCACATACTTTAAGGTTCCAGCCAGTCAGTCGTACCTACAGAAGTTTCCTCGCCACCTGAAGGTGTTCTGTTACTGTGGACGTTATTAAACTTGTATACAATGAGCACTGCTAGACGTAACACTGGGCCAAGGTCAGGGCCTGCTGCTGGTGCCAGAATACAGCAGGCTAAGCTGGTGCTGCTAGGGGACCAGGGTGTCGGCAAGTCCAGTATTGCCCTTAGGTTTGTCCGCGGGCAGTTCCCGGAACACAGTGAGGCTACAGTTGGAGGTATGAATCATATGATATTAGTATGTTGTTGAATTTAAATTTTCTTTATACAAATATGTTATTTATCAAACTTGGAATGATTTTAACAGAGTAAATTTTTTTTTTAATTCCCTGACATTTTTATCTGTTTAAATATTAATTTATGTTGATTGGTTTAGCCATTTGTTTAGCCCACCATTGCTTTTAAACATCTTTGTTATTATTAGTTATTATTTTCATAATTTCTATTGATTATTTTCTAATTTAACTATTTTAGCATAATTGGTTTACTAAAATGCCATCTCTTACCTGCTACAAATGTGCATATGAATAGGTTTTTTCATGTAAATTAACAATTGTTTTTGTTAGAGGAAATTATTTAAAAAGTGTGTTTTGATTACAAGTTTGTATGATTAAAGTGTGTTTTATATTTGTTATTTTAATGTGTATTTATTTTTTTGCAGCTGCGTTTTTAACCCAGACTGTTCAGGCTCAGGGCCAGAATCTGAAGTTTGACATCTGGGACACAGCCGGGCAGGAGAGGTACCACACGTTAGCACCCATGTACTACAGGGGGGCTCAGGCAGCCATTGTTGTTTATGATATTAATAATTTGGTAAGGTTCTTATACAAGCTTAGTAAAGATTCAATACTTATCTTCTATATATATATAATTCTCTTCTGGGAGACGTTAGAAATCAAGCTACCCCCCCCCCCCCCCCCCCCCTCACATGGTCTGGTGAGCTGTGGTTCACGCTAAATGTAAGCCGGGTTTGGTGACGGCTATTAGGGGCAGATAATTTAGTTTGAAACTATTTTAAACTTAGAGGAGGTAACTAAGAGGAGGCTGCTTTCATGAGCAAATATTTTCAGTGGCAGCATTGGTACTGTCGAATTCACAAATTATGAATTATTGAAAAGTAGAAAAAACAACTAAATAGCGGCGTATGATACACTGCAGGTCGGCTCGTATTTTATAGCCTTATTATGTAAGAACAAAACAGTTTTAATTAAAAATTTTGACAAAAGCAAATTGGTTTGATTAGAGTAGCCTCCCTATAGACCTTATTTATACTAGGTGTTAAGACCTTAAATAAAGTGGTTTTTATTTTTAATAATAATGTTTGAGTCTTATTGTCATTAAATGGGTAGGCTCCGGTTAAAAAAAAAAATTGTTTCAATTGTATAGAGCAGGGGTCTCCAAACTGCGGCCCGCCAGGTCATTTTATCCGGCCCGCGACGATCTTTTTGTCCACTGAATAAATGTTTGTTAGAGGTGACTGAGGAACTTTGCACAGAAAATTCAAAACTATTTGAAAATGTAGCTTAAGATGCATATACCATTGCCCGCCGTGTTGCAGACATTGGTGAAAACATCGTGACTCAAATAGCGAAAAATGCAAGCAAGCTTCGCCATTTTTCATTTGCAATGGATGAGTCGCTGGACAGCTGTTCCACCTCTAAACTGCTTTTGTTCATTAGAGGTGTGGATGAAGACATGAACATAACACAAGCGCTGGCTTCCCTACATATAATGTATGACACTGTTACCGGAGAGAATATCTTACCATAGATAGTTCAGAGACAAACACAAAATTGCAAGATTTATCATATTTCACATCAGTAAGATTGCTAATTTTGCGAGAAAGTTCTGAGAAGAGCATTTAAGTTAAGTCTGCTGCAGACATAACTAGTCATTTAAGTTTTCTGAATCTAAAACGGCAAGAGAGGGAAATCTAGTCTCTGATCTATACACCCACCTAAAGGCGTTCAGATCCAACTTGTCATGTTTTAAATAAGTTAGTACAAGCCAACAACTTGACGCACTCTCAGCAGTGCAAGGTCTTAACGGCTGAAGCAAAACCACTGAGTTCTCCACATCATTTGCATGCGAGATCATCAAAGACCCCCAGCTGCAGTTTCAGTAGCGGTTCTCTTACTTGGATTTAAAGGCAGAAGAAGTGCGACTGCTTCAAAACCCATTTGAGACAAATGTGGCCAGTTGCAAAGATGAACTGCAGCGGGAGGTCATTGAATTGCAAGAAAATAACTTCCTTAGAGACACGTTCAAAAAAGAGCGGATGGGTTTTCATAAGTTTTTGCACAAGGAAGACTTGCCTAATATTAAAACTTTTGCTTAAAAGTACCTTTTTAAATTTTGGAACAACATACCTGTGTGAATAAACATTTTCGAGAATGAAATACGTTAAGAATAATTTGAGAACAGAGCAAACTTGGACCTCGAGTGAGTTGTCGACCCCCGAAAGTGTTTCTTACAGACTTTTTACTTGGGGGGGGGGAGGGAGGAAGGAAGGAGTAGACACTTAAAATGTGTATATATTTCTATATAAATTATATTTTGCTTGGGGGGGGGGGGGCGTAGACGTTCTTCGGGGGGGGGGGGGGGCGCTACCACCCCGAAGAGATGCCTTAAAGAAACTCTGGCCCTCGAACTGATATTTGATAGCTGATGCGGCCCTCGAGCTGAAAAGTTTGGAGACCGCTGGTATAGAGCAAACAATTTTTTCTCTACAGTTTTTTTAAGGTACATCCAAACGTTTCCATTAAAAAAATTGGTAGGAAAATCTTGGTAACTATGACAATGAAGGTCATCCTAAAAAATTAACCTATTTGTAGGATTTTAAGCCCAATAAACAAAGAATTCATAATCTTTTACCATATTTGGAGTACTAAAATTTTAAATGCAGATCTTCAAACTAATTTAATATGAATTTTCAAATTGTGGATCCATTAAAAACACTAAATTTAAGACCTCAAAATTCCCCAAAATTTGAAAATTCACAAAAATTAGTTTAATTTTTAAAGATTTTCCCACCAAATATTTGTTATGGAAACATATACAGATGTACCTTAAAAAGCTGTAGTGAAATAATTGTTTCCCAATGAGTACTTAAAATTTTGTTTAGACCAGTGCCTGCCCCCATAAATGTGAATAAACATGTCATGTAAATGTTATACATTTTACTTATCACTCATTTAACAAGGCATTTCTGTTTTGAACATATTTAACAAAGCATTTATCAATCTGTTTAGAACACATTTAACAAAGCATTTATCCTTCTGTATAGAACACATTTAACAAAGCACTTATCTCTCTGTATAGAACACCTTTAACAAAGCACTTATCTCTCTCTATAGAGCACATTTAACAAAGCAATTATCCTTCCGTATAGAACACATTTAACAAAGCATTTATCCTTCTGTATAGAACACATTTAACAAAGCATTTATCCTTCTGTATAGAACACATTTAACAAAGCATTTATCTCTTTGTTTAGAACACATTTAACAAAGCATTTATCCTTCTGTATAGAACACATTTAACAAAGCATTTATCCTTCTGTATAGAACACATTTAACAAAGCCATCGCGTGGGTGAGAGAACTGAGACAGCAGGCCACTGGCAACATTGTGATTGTGTTGGCAGGCAATAAAGCAGACCTAGCTGCCGAACATCGTGCTGTACCTACAGAGGTTTGTTACCAGCTTCTGCTGCCTTACTCTACATCCAATGCTTTAGAATAAAGTCTTGTATATAAGAGTAACTGCAATCTCTCAAGAATGTTATTTAAACTATTAGTATTTAAATATGAAATAATAATTATATAAGTAATGTTAAGTTAAAATAATTTTAAGCTTGAGGCAAAAGCTTGATATAGCTTATATTTTATGTCCTTTATTTCACAAAGATATTTAGACAAACACATTTAATTTTAAAAAGCAGATAAGCATTAAAAAATAACCATAAAATTTAAATATAAACATTTAAAAAAAAACATTTTTCAGCAAAAGTTTAAATATAAATGTTGCTTATATAAACAAATTTTCAGGCATATGTTAAAGTAAAGAAAAATAGTCTTTAAATAAATGCAATTTCAAGCATAAGTTTTAGTATGAGCATTTGCAAAATAAAAAATACGAGCCGACCCGCTGCGTATCATACGCCGCTATTTAGTTGTTTTTTTTTCTACTTTTCAGTAATTTATAATTTGTGAATTCGACAGTACCAATGCTGCCATTGAAAATATTTGCTTAAAAACACTACCCCCCCCCCCCCCCCCCACGTGAAAGCAGCCTCCTCTTAGTTACCTCCTCTAAGTTTAAAATCGTTTCAAACTAAATTATCTGCCCCTAATAGCCGTCACCAAACCCATCTCTGTGATTGTAAAATGTAACAGAGTGAACACAACTCACCAGACAATGTGGGGGTGGGGTGGGGGTGGTTGTGATATTGATATAGAGGAAGAGAGGGGACTGCAAAGGCGCGCTTGCAGCTTGTTTTCTAACTGATCCCAGAAGAGAATTATATATATAGATAAGTATAAGTTGGAGTAAAAGTTCAAATAGGAAATATTTCTACATAACTTGAATTAAGCTTATTAGATAATAGATAAACATTTTAAGTTCAACCATGTAAAATTTGATTGATTTAAATATATAGTGTTTAAAACAGAGTGTATTATACAGTTGTTTGGTATATTTAGTGTACTTATCGTCTTTTTCTTAGTGAATTATACTTAACCTCACTCTTAAGACATTTGCATGGTTCACTTTGTGTCATTATCTCATTCTTAGTGCTACATACATTCATTCTCTGTGTTTACAACAGGATGCTAGAGCATTTGCAGAAGAGAATGGGTTGATTTTTGCAGAAGCTTCAGCAAAGACTGGTCTAGCAGTCAATGAAATGTTCATGATGATAGGTAAGAAAAAAAACATGTTCTTTTCAAAGGGGTCATAACCGGCGTCTCACTTTTTAGCAAACTTTTACCCCCACAAACAACAGTCACAAAAAGCTGCAGCCCCACCACAAAATGCGGTGGTAAAGTATTTAGTTCCACTCAACCATTATTCTAAAGCAAAAAATTCTTCAACTGTTTTGGTGCTTAAATAATAAAAATAAATATCATATTTCTAAAGTTGAACTAAACCTCTCTCCCCTAATGACCATCTTGTTGATGTACTTAACAATATTCTTTCTTAATTTTTTTTATCCATATGGATTTTTAACAAAAATAAAAATTTTTCCATAAATAAAGACAACATTATTAACCCTTTACAGTCCGGACTCAGGATTTTTTCCCTGGCTGTCTGAAGGAAAATAACTTTTAAAAAATTGCTAAGAATAATTAATTAAAAACCATGTGCATTTAAAAATTGAAACAAAAATTACTTCGCAAAGAAAAATGGATGCAGATTTTTGTGCATTACTTTAAATTACCATGCATAAACATTTTCATTAAAAAGTAGCACCAAACTTAATAGTGAAAAAAAATATCATAGACAGAACTTGTTTTTGGGCACACAGGACTGTTCTACATAAGAAAAATCTCTAGCCCATTTGGCTGCATAGGACTGTTAATTAAGGGTTATGGAATTCAATACATTTTTTTTGGTGTAACTTTGTTTTCTCTGCCTTTCAGCTCACAAAATGGTTTTAAAATCTTCTGGAGGACTTGCGCCAAGTCAGGGGGTCAGACTTTCAAATGATGAGGAAAACAAAGCTTCAGGCTGCAAGTGTTAAGGATAGGGAGAGAGATAGCTAGCTCATCATGTTCATTGTGCTCCTGATTAGTTCATTTAGATGTGAGCTCATTATGGTAGGGGATTAGTTGATGATGAGTTTCTTGACAGTGGAAAAGTTAGGGGAGCAGAAAATTATGTTTATGTTGTGGACGAGTTCATTCACGGAAAGTTGATCATGGTTGTGGAGTTGTTTGAAATTGTGGATGTTCCTTGAGGTAGTGAAGGCAATGAAGATTTTACTCTGGTTCTTTACATTAAGCTAGAGCTGTTGAATCCAAAAGTACTTCATCAGAGCTTATTGTCTCATACGGTAACAAAAATCAACATCAGTAGCTTTTAACTACAATCATTGAAACATCATTTTGTACTGGTACTACACAGTGCAAGGATGAAACACATCTTGTGATAAAGGATGGATAAACATTGATGGTGTGTAGGGGAGAGTTGACAGTAATCTACAACAAGCACCTGATCACATTTTTTCAGGCACCATCTCTGACTTTTTAAAACCATTTCTAAATACAAAATGCTTTGTGAGAAAACTATATTGGTTTTATGAAATGTATACATGCTTTTTTTTTTTAAATTTTTTTTTAGTGACATTTATATTTTTTGGTTTTAAAATGTTGATGTATTTTTATCCACCTGAAATAATGCATAAAAATTAGATTCTCTTTCATCATCGTGTGTTGAAACATTGAGGTCCTGATGTACACAAATTTACTTTTCAAAAGGAGGTTGAGTTTATAAATTATGCCTTATTAGGTTTTTACAGTTTTAGCAGTAAAATATTTTTATCCTTTTGACTTCATGTTCAATTAACCATTGTGGATTGTTGCTTTATTAATAGAAGTTGATTAATCTGGGAGTTTGAGCTAAACTAAAGTTGTTATTGAGGCTCAGAGTATATTTAAAATGTTTTTTTTTAATCCCAGTTGATGTATTCACTTTGGTAGGTAGAACTTTTAACACAAGAAAATAATTTTAATTAAATATATTTTAATATGCAGTAGCTCACTTTCAAAGTAACATAACTATGGTTAGAGCTTAAGATAATCAGGTATAATGTCAACAAAAGCTGTGTTGTATCTTTGATAACTTAGCACTGTAGCTGTTGCACATAATATATTACCGAAACTATATTGTTCAAATTCATGTGCTTGCTAGAATATAGCAGAGTAACTACTAATACAGTTAGATAGAAAACAGAAATACTGTTGCTAAAAAATTAAAGAGATAATGCGCTGCTAAAAATAGTAATAACTTTATTGCTGGAAAAAAGATAATACTATTGCTAAAAAGAGATAATATTGTTGCTAAAAAAAAATGATAATACTATTGCTGCAGAATCGTTAACAGACTACAGCCTTTGTTATCTGTTACAATAGCTGAGTTAATAACAAAATACTGGCATTAAGGTATTTCAAATATATAATCACATCTTATGTTGCACTAAGTTTGTTTGATGAAAGATAATAATTGAACAAGTTATCCCATGGATAGCATGGATACCTTGTCTTGTTGGTCTTAAAATTATCAATCAAAATTTGGATATTTTTTTTAATGTAGTATTGAGTTTATTCATTTATTTGCATCTAAAATGTATCAACTGTTTGTCCAAAAGTAAATGTGTCATGTTAAGGAAGTTGTCACATGTGCCATAATTTTCTTGCCAGAAAAATTAATTTTTTGTTGCCAATTTTCTGTGAAAGGCAAGACTTTTATGCTTACCTACTGGTCATTTGAAATAAATAAAGAGAAGTGCAGCATGTTTTTACACTAGCCCCAGTCTAGTTTACTTTTTTATATGCGCTGATTGCCAGTAATACAATACTATAACGAGCTTGTAAGTGGTCAGTATAAATTTATTTAAGAATGTAAACTAAAACTTCCTATTGAATTTAAACAAAAGTTGGTTTTTACTAGTTGATGATATATATTTAAGTGAAAAATTTCCCCCCCCCCCCCCCCTTTTTTTTTTTTGCTGTCTCTGAGGCAACCAGATGTTCTAGAATATAGAAATTGTAGATGCGTACTAATTTGTTTATAGATCAAGTACAACTTTTCTGCTTTTTAACGTTTATTTTACTGGCTTGTTTTGCCTGTCACTCTGGATATTTTAATTTGTACTTGAATGTAAAGTAAGGGAAACAACTCATGTTGCTAAAAATTACATACACTGAATCTTATAAATGCCAGATAAACAAGATAAGAAAACATACCAAAAAAAAATATAAAAATTTCTAATATACTTGAAAGTCCAATATTAATCTTTAAATTAAAACCCGTACCTTTAAACATTAAAGCCGTAATTTTTTAGTTTTTCAAATGAGAAATTTTAAGTGCTAAGTATGCAGCTAGTTTTAACTTTGGTTTTCAAATACTTGTGTGACATCTCACCTTGATCAATACACATTCTTCTGACTGGTTCTTTACTGAAGTCACATTTTCATTTACATCAATGTTAATGTTTTAAATTGCCAGTTTATCTTTGAAATAATTCTTGGTTTCATTTTTTCTTTCATGTTAAACATGTCTGTCTTTAGTTTGTAACATGCACTTAACTAAAAATAAAGTAATGAAAAATTTTCTTCAATCTGTTCAGTTTTGTTTTTCATTGTTAATGTATGTAGCACATTTATAATAACAGAGGATTTTTTTTTATTATCAAGTCGAAAACTCATTAAAAGTTATTTTTTTTAATTCAACTTTTAACTCATTGATGGCTCTCAGAGTTCAATTTTTCCCTTCCCTCTCACATGCACTGCTTTTTTGTACATTTTACTTTAAAAGTTAAACAAAATGTGCAGCATTATTATGGGTTGTTGAGTGGTCACATTGGAGAATTTTTGTTAATAGTTATGTAGTCTTAGTTAGATTCTATACTTGTTTTGTTTTTATATTTATTTTAAATTTTAAGGTATTTTTCATTCAAGAAGAGAATTTAAATTTAGTTGGTTCTACTCCATGGGAAAACATTTCTCATCTGTAAATCTTAAGCTGAATAAACTTGCCACTATAACTGTTATAAAACTTAAGACCTACAATATTTGTATTTAATGTTTATTTTAATTTGATTCAGTATACATAGAAGATTCTTTTCTTATCACGCTGCAATATTATTTATTTTCTTTTTCATTTTTGTAATGTGTTAAAATTTAGAAAGCCCTTTGGAATAGATGCATCAGGCAAAAATGTTATTTATAACCTCAAAAAAAAAACAATATAAATATAAAAAATTGGACAAGAAGGTGTAATTCAGCTGTTAAGTATATTTCCCTACACTAGACATGTTTTCTTAAGTATTGGGCTTAGAATATTTTGTGACATTTTAAAATGTATTTGTATCTTTTTGAGGTTATCTGAACACCATCCATGTTTAACTAGTGATTTTGATAAGGAGAAGCATAAAGTGTAAGCCTTCTTTAAACCATCTGTTGTTCCATAAAGTACTTAGTATCTTAATCTGGTGATGTAATCTGATTTCAGTTGTGGTGTAATGTCTGAGATGTAATAGTTCTAACATTCCAAGATTTCAGAAAGGAACAGTTAATTTTTTGGCCAGTTGTATCAGACAGTGAAAAGTCACTAGTCACATTATGTTTTAGTATTTTTGCTTCTCTATGTATCATAAGTGTATATTGTATGGCATATTTATACTTGCTAAACTAACCCAAAAATACTCTAGATATACATGTTTCTACTGTCCTTAAATTTACCGTTTATTTATACACACTGGTTTCTTGTATAATTATTTATCCATCATCATCTTTTTTTTTGTTGGTGGTTTTGATTTTAAAATACTAATTACTACATGTAAAAAATGTGTATCCCTATTGTTTCTTAACACCTATTTTTTTTATAATCAGGGTAATTTTTAAATGTAAATCAAATGGATTCAGTTAAAAATAAGAATGCATAGCAAACTATAATAAATTATAGAACCTTGTGATCCATTTCAAAGCTTTAGACTGGAGTGACTGCTCTTGACTTTCAGCTTGTGGAACAATTACTTTTGATCCATTAAATAATTTAAATTATTTTTAGATCATGCTAATTAAACCCCCCATTCAATGAAAATGTATTGGCCTGGAGACATATCAACAGGCTACTACTAAACTATTTTGCTTTAAATCTGTCTTCCCCATTTAATGCTTTGGTGCTGTGCCAAATCTCTCATAGCATTTAATACTGAATGTTGCTCTACTGAAAACTGTTTCTACCCTTAGATTCAGTTACTAAATACTGTTGTTAAAAATAAACAAACCACTTCAAGTTTTGTTCTGTTTCTCCCCCACTACCTTGGTAAAAATGTTTATCAAAATTGTTCGCAAATACTTGTGTATAAAATGTTCTTCCATTAATGAATGACTCATGAGATATTTAAATAAAGTGTTAAAATGTTCATTGAGTTCTCACTTTTTTAAAAATTACATGTCTACTTAAGTTGCACAAAAGATAACAGCAATATTATAATAAAAGTTTTATTTTCACAGTGAAAAGAAAATCATTAGCACATAAACAGGATCTTAAAGGCTGCATTAAACACAAAGTACCAGAACAAACATTACCAAATGTGTAGAGAACAAGAAATATGCATTTTAAAAATTTTAACTATAAACATTTAGGGCAATTTAAAATCTGATTTTTACAATAATAGTTAATAGTTTGCATATATAATTTAGAAGAAGATTTAACATTTGAAGAAAAAATACATTTACTGAAAAACATAAAAATACACACCCAACATCAAAACAAAAATTTGACACCCGAATATTAATATGTGTAAAAAAATATGATATAAAAATGTAAAAAGTATAATAGAAGAAAGACTAAGTAAAAAGGTTTGATAAAAAATTGTATTGTCCCCTGAGATACTGCAGACATGTATGGTAGTGTTGACAAGCTTAGCTCACATGAAACTTGACCACTATAATGCCCTGTCTTAACTAAACTAATAACAGGTCTAGCAGTGGAGTTAGGGTTACATGAGTGGTGCTTGACTCGTACCAATCCCATCCTGCCTGTGAAATGTGGGTTGGTGTTTAGCGAGGTGTGGAGTACAATGCCCCTTACTACAGATACCAGGAGATGGAAGACATTTATTACGTCCGGGTTTGGTTCAACTCAGGAAATGATTCGTGGTTATCTTCAATACTTTTATTTGGACTCAATTTTTCACATCACAGCCTCGCCCTAACCGCTACCAACTAACCCCTTACAACCATTCACTCCAGCTTTTATACTGCATTCGACCTTTGGATATCAGTACATAACACACCGGGGTTAACAATACTCAAGGGTAAACTCAACTCACTCACGCACTCTCCCCTAACAACATTATCATCCTCTCTCAAAACCCTTTCACACACAAAATATCATTAAGTGAATGCCATTTCATCTTGTCTCTAGCTGTAGCCTCTATCTGTTGGAATATTAGGCTTCACACTTTTAACCCTTTCTCCATTCATCTTTTCCATGTTTCTTTTAGCCTTTACTCTAGCCCTATGGCATCTATCTAAGAACAGTTAGCTAATAAATTATTCTGATTCTGAGTACATGACCAAACCATCTCAATTTTCTGTTTAAACACCTCATTTGAGATGGTATTTGGCATGCAGATTCTTAATATTTGGTCCAACACTTGTTTTGGAAAGCTTCTTCTTTATTCTTTATTGCATAGGTTGTTTCCCAACATTCAGAATCATACAGAAGGAGACATTAAATATCTTAAATTTAATAATATCACAGTATCACATTGCATTTTGAATTTCAAAACCAAATTTAAACAGTAATTAGCATTTAATAATTTTAAAAAATAATTACATTTTTAAATACACATTTGATTTAGGTAATCAATAATAGCCTGAATACAAACACTGCACCTTAAGGGGCTTGGTAAAATATACACAACACATCCCGTTACCATAGTAACAAGCCACACCCTGTGTAACCGGAACTACCAAAGGCTGTTCAGAGTTAAGTGAGCATTCAAGGTCGCAAGCTTTCAAAATGTCAAAATTGGTTTGCTTAGACTCAACTCCTGAGGCAGTTTTTACTGTGAAATGAGCACTGCGTCCCTTGCCTGTGATTCTACAGTGGGGGAACTGGTCTTGTAGAAATGAAGACTGGTCCCTCATATCACCTCCAAGCTGATCTTGTTCATGAGGTGACACTAGACCCTGGTCTGCGAAATTATTATTTTTATTTTCCTCAACATCCTGTACTGTTTTTTCTGTTTTATTGGCATTTTTGAAACCCCCTTTCTGCTTTCTTTGTTTACTTTTCTTCCTCCCTGCTGTGGTCTGTTCAAATTTTTTCAGCTCCTTTTCTAGCTTAGATGGCTTTGTTAATTTCTTCAGCTTTCTTTTACTCGCACTGATGTAAACATCAGCATTTTGTTTAGAGTGGTTTCCCTTAACCTCAGTTATCCAGCTATCCTCCTCTGGTTTGTTGAACAGTGCCAATGCAGCACCATCGAGTGAGACTCTTGCGGCTATTGTTTTTAAAGTAATGATTAACCCTGTCACAGTCAGGTTAAATACTTTCCCACACGAGTTTTGAACATCTGGTCTGTTGAAATAGCTGCCAGAATCAGGCACTTTCCCCCATCCACAATACTTCGCTGTGCAATGGAGAAGTCGCCTTTTCTTCTCTGATTGGACATAGTATCGTTGCAGCAGTTGCTGAGCCATCTCTGTAGGAAAATGTAATTTTGTTAATGAATACCTCTAAAATATTTTGACAAAAATTCACTGAATGCTAGTATATCTAATGCTATTATTAGGTTATGCTATATTATCATGATGCTAAATTATGTTGTTTTTATGCAAGCTTAATTAATTTGCATTTATGAATTTCATTAATTTAATCATCTAACACCAGTGTGAGCAGGACATTTCCCCCTGGTCAATTACCCCCTCCCCGGTCACCTGTAGGACATTACCCCACCCAGTCAACTAACTGACCCTGTATATTTAATAGAACAGACAGATTCAGAATCTGTTAGGGGTGTGTGGGCATGGGAGGAGTAATGTCCTAGACCCGACCCAAAGCCTGTACCGCTTAATGGGCAATAACTCTCACAGTCAATCACTATATTGATTACTATAGAAATAGGGACACAAAATTTGTTTACGTTAATTGTATATAAAAGCACCTAAAAAGATTTAAGTGAAGTCATAAACTCAAAAAGATTAATATCTTTAATTTAATTTTTAAAATTATGAGACACTAAAATTTCCAATCTGCATAAATTATATTAGCTTACCTTCTGAAATATGATCTGGATTAATATTCATAGCATTCATAAAATCTGCCTTTAATTCTTTCAGCTTTGTCAAACACTCTGTGTATATATCTTCAGAAATCTGCCTCAAATAGTCAGATGTCTTCTCATTCGGAAACCAGGCGTAGTAGCCTGGGATTACTTTCTCAAACATACTCACTTTCTTCTCAAGAATATCAGCAGTCACACCATGTGAATTCCTATTGGCCAGTTCAAGAGGGTCCATTTTCCAGGGTGTTTTTGGCTCAACGAGAATAACAGTGTAGCCACTGGTTGCAGCAAGTTGAAAATAAAATTTCATCTCCCATTTGCGTACATTTGTGTTGTCAATGACAACCACGGGTGTTTGCTTTGAACATGCCAGTGAAGCTTTAGACTGGCAGTCTTCGTGGGCCGCATGGAGCAAATTCACATCATGATTGTAAGAGCCGTCCTCTGTGTAGAAATAATCATCAGCCGAGCAGACAGTGACATTGTGGAATGCTGACTTCAAAACGCTGACAACTGACGACTTACCAGACCCAGACAGGCCCCTCATGATAAACATGACTTTGGAATCTGGGTCATTTATGTGTCGGAAGGATTTTTTATCTGTGAAAAACACAAAGTCTAAGTAGTTTCTGTCCAAGTTGTTGTCAATGAATGTCAGGGGCTGAGTGTCAAAGCTAGATGCAACCTCTAGTGTTTCTTGTTTAACTACCTTCTCCTCTGAAATTATGAGTTCTGAGCATTCCTTTCCTTCCTAAAACAAAATATATTTTTTCTCTTAGTGATTAATAGAAACAATGAGGTATATAAGGAGAATCTAATATGCTATTGTTATTTTTTGTGATTAATAGAAACAATGAGGTATATAAAGGAGAATCTAATATGCTATCATTTTTTTTGTGATTAATAGAAACAATAAGGTATACGAGGAGAATCTAACACGCTATTATTTTTTTTTAAAAACATCAAGGTTATGAATATTTTGTGTACACACTAAGGAATATAGGATTTGCAATACATATTCATAAATCATTAAAAACATATTTAAACGGAACTAAAACAAGTTCCACAGAAATAACATGAGCAGATGTGGCAGAGTTCAATTGTTTCTGTTTCATTTGGGATGTGGTCAGTCCAATTACTAGCCATTTTTTCAATGAGTTTTTAGTTACTTTATTCAATAGCAGCATAATAAAATAACAACATAATAGGCTCTAGATCTAGATTCTACATGTCAATTTGAAACATTCATACATTAAAATTTAAAAAATTTACATTCATATTACCTTTATTAGATGTTCCTCCAAGGTGCTAGAAAGGTGCTGGATTGAACAAGTGATTTCATATTCACTAATCAAACATACTTGACAGCCGTTGTTGGTACAGGCATCAGTACAACTTCCATCTATATCATCCTCAACTTGGGGTTCAATGTAAACTGGGCTTAGTGCCATGAAACTGATGTAAGACATCTTTCCAGTTCCACATTGGTTTCTATTGCAACTTAAAACCTAATTTGAAATAAGTCTTTATAATTAATTAGTTAATGGTTTATTACATTATTTTAATTCTAGGATAGTCAAAAAAAATGTAGGCATGCATTTGTAGACAGCTTAAGCCTTAACCTTTTCTCACCCCCATTCCCCTATCCCTACTTTACATTGACATCACACCTAAGTTTAAGTTAGCCTACAACATACTTGGCTAACATTACAGCTCAGTTAGAGTACTGACTAGATTTAGATTAGAGTCAGTTAGACTTATGACTAAATCTCTAACTCAGAACTCAACAAGATGAGAACTCACACTTTCACACTGTGACTAGATCTAGATATCTAGAGCTACGGACCAACTATGGTACCTACACAACACAGTTTACTAACAGTGGACTAACACAGCCACCACAGTATTTTTTAAGTAAGGTAACACTACCGTAACTGTAACACTAAAATAACCTAACACTGGTGTTACTAACAGTAACAATAACACTAACACCACTCAGCTAACAACAGCAAACTTGAAGAAGTTAGGCGACTTGGGCCTACTTTTAAACTTTCAGTACTCTTGCTTGAGTCTTTTACTTACTTACTTTACTAGATCTATGGACTGGTAACTCTACTTTTAACTTGGCCTTATTAACTTTTAGATTTTAGTAGACCTACTTACTTTTTAATTTTTATACTTACTTTATCTTACACCTTAGAGTTTAGATCTAGAATATCTATACTCGAGATCTAGTGTATAAGAATGAGTGTAGCGGTGTAGAAGTCTATGTTATTGGATTGAGTTATTCAACAGTTATTGCAAAACATGACGACACTAGAATAGATCTCCTAAACTAACACATCCATACCATGTAACGCCAAGCATTCAAAATTACCAGAAAGTCACTTAAAATGAAGCAGTAAGTAATCGTTTGCAACAGAAACATAAATAATCATCATTCTTAGATCTAGAATCTAGATACATATTAAAATTAAATTAAGCTAGCATTGACTGGGTAACAATTGCAAAGAGCAATAAACGCAATATAGAATCTAAGTGAGCGCCGTTTTTTTAAACCTAGATCTAATATTTATTTTTCCCAACAATAGTTACTAAATTTTTAATTACTATTTAGTAATAGGCGACAAATGACTTATGTGAAGCTCGGAGCTATCGTAGTAGTAATTACTGCTAATAATTATTACATGACTAGGCCTCGAAGGATAATAACAGAGTTTCTTTCAGATATTTTTCCTCGGGGGAGAGGGAAGGGATTATAAGTGAAGGGGGGGGGGGGGGGATTTAAGATCTCCTTAGAGGGAGGCAGACTAAGTGATATCTAAAACAAACTCTGGAAATACAAATTGGTAGACAATTGTAGTAGGCCATGTGAATAGATCATCTCGATCATGTCTAAAAGTTCGGAAAAAAATACCAAACAAAATGACTCAAAAGGGACGGCGTGGTCGAATAGTAGAGCATTCAACTCATAACCCAAAAGTCTCGAGTTCGAATCCGGGTTGAAGTCCGTAGAGGCGTAGATGGTCCCTGATACAACCCACCTCTGATGGGTACATGCCTCACGTTAGAGAAAGTAAAGGCGGCTGTACATATTCAACACTCTATTCCTTTATATTTATGCTGAGGTCGCAGAAGCAGGTGAGTTTCTTTCAGGCATCTCTCCAGGGCACCGCTTCGACCCCCCCCCCGAGAAATATCCTAATTAAAAAGAAATACTGTTCACTTGATCTTTGGGCCGTCTGCTTCGTAAGGGAACTTTACTTAAATGTCAAATGTCTAATCAAACATTGACAATTTTTTGTTGCAGCAACCAAACCAATTTTGTTAAGCTAATGATTCATGTTAAATCAGTTAATATCAAGCACTAAACGTGTTAAATATTCCTACTATTATACTTGCATAACGCACTTTATTCACATGGGCTAACGCTGCACTTAATCAGTGTTTCGTTAAGTAGTTTTATTGTTCCATCGTGACTTTTCCTTTCGATTTTATCCATTTCCGTTTATTCATTGCAATTTGACAAACGTAAATCTAGATGTGGAACTATTGTTGTTACTGTTGTAGGCCTACCTAGTCTAGATTTCAAAGATCTAGATTTCTAGATCTAGACTATATCTGATTTAATAATTTAGAATAGATCTAGATCTATATAGAATTTAGATTCTAATTGTACTGAGACAGGCAAAACAAAAACTTATTTACTTGGACTTGGAATTGTTGAAAAAGCCTGAAAAAGGCGAAGAACTCCGGGAAAAAAAACGGGTATGGTATGCCCCTGCTGGGCCCCTAACCTGAGCATAGAGAATTAAAAAATAACGACGCAGAAGATCTATAACTATAGGCCTAGACTCTAGATCTATAGAGTATAGAGGATTATTTATTATAGATGCCTCATTTAGTCATTAATCTTCGTAATAATCTTAGATTAGTTAGAAATAGAGTCTAAGATTTTTTTGACACTTGGAGAATAAGGCTATGCTGCTATAGGCCTATATAAAAATAAATATTAATTAATTACTAGTGTGGTCAGTACTATGCCAAGCTGCCTTTACTTTCCCTAACGTGAGTTAGGTAATAGGTACCCATCAGAGTTGGGTGCAGTCAGGGACGTTCTACTGACTTGAACCCGGATTCAAACTCGAGACTTTCGGATTAGTAGTCAAGCTCTCTACCGCTAGACCACACTGTCCCGTAATATCACCCAGTAAAATATATAATAGTATAGAAATAAAGATCTATACTATAGTATTCTATAGGCCAACCTATAGACTATAGTATACTCTAAGTATAGTATAGTATAAGTATAGGCCTGCAGGCTATTAATATTTTAATAGGCCTAGAATTAGATCTATTAGACCTATTTATTCAAATTATTTACTTTTTAGGCCAGATGCTTCAATAAATAAATGTCTGAATATTTTAATATTTTTCTTTTCAGTTGAAAAGATCCTGTAACTTTAAGAAACAGCACAATAATGTTTTGTATCCACAAATTAAATGCTGATTGATCTTCAAAGGAGGTAAAAAAAAATTACATAGACTAAAAAGTTAAGTTAAAAGTATAGGCCTACTATTTTTTTATGTCATAGATATGCCCAGCTGTATTTACTTAACTGATGTGAGTCAGGTACGCAACAGAGCTGGGTAGACTCAGATGAACTCTAGCCATGGATCTGAACTCTAGACTTTCTGGTTAGCAGTACCATACAACCATGCTGTCCCATTTGTTGTCTGTTGATCTATTATTTGTACTAAATTAACATATGAACATATAACTTTAAATTTACGTTAAGATGTTCCTACTAAATTGTTTTATTTTTCAGAATGTTTGTAGCTAAGGAGTTTTATAAGCATAGAAGGTGTTTTGAACCGTGGTCAGAGTATTTTACTGAAATGGGGAGTGATGTTTTAAAGGAACAAACTATTCATTGTGTGGAGATAAAATATTGAACTGCTAAAACAGTGTTTTTGAGAAGTCATTCTTTTGAAGGTAATTAATTGTAAATAGATATCTTTTATTTAAGGTGAAATAGTTTATTTTAGGGCTATTTCAAAACTAGATTGCAAATACCTTAAACTTTTATAAATCTTTTTATCTATAACTCATATTATTAATACTTCTTTCTTCAGATAGCCTACTAAAATATAAGATAAGTAATTAGTTTGGCCTTCAGAAAAGAGTCACTCTTTTTTGAGTAGCTTTGTAAAGAGATATAAAATAGTTTTTTTATTTGTGTCACAGGTAATGGAAGTCCCAGAAATTACTCGTCAAACCGCATTCAAATCCAAACCCTGGGGTGCCGCTAGTGCTGTCTACAATGGCGCTGTCTACATTGACCACCTGCCCTCTTATGAGAAATTGTTCCAGAACATTTTCCTAAAGAACCAGCTGTGCATTGTTGGTCCGTCCGCCACCTCGCAGTGGTCCAGTAAAAAGGACTGGGTTTTGAAAGACGGGAGCCCAAATTTTCACTTCCTGATGGAGAAATTTGGTGTGTGCACATTTCTTGTATAAATTACTCACAAATCTGGTAGAATGACCTTTTACCTCATCATCGTGGTATTTTTCCTATTTGTACCCTAAGACCAGTGGCGCAGCCAGGATATTGTCTCAATGGGGGGTTCCAATTTTTACCCTGGTACAAACTTTCGCTTTGCACCCCACCCCCCCCCCCCCCCTCAAACTTTCGCTTTGCACCCCACCCCCATACTTTCGATTTTGCACACCCCCCCTCATACCGAGGGGTCTATGGGGGGGGGGGGGGGGGGTTATGACCCCCCTAACCCCCCCTGCCTAAGACACATGGCAGATGAAGTAGCGTACGTCTGTTTCAATTACTTTGGCATGTATAAGGATATTTGGTCAAAACTATACCCAGCCAGCTTTGTTTTGTTAGCATGAGTCAGATACCCATCAGAGCTGGGTGAACTCAGGGACGTCTTATAGAAACATACCTGTGATCTGAACTCAAGACTTTTTTGTTAGTAGATGCAATCTCTACCATTCAACCACACAGCGTTGATGTATTTGTTTTGTAGGTGACGCCACAGCCCCAATAGCAGACTGCAATGTAGAAGAGTACTGTGCCCACCCAAAGACAGAGATGAGCGTTAAAAACTTCCTGCTTTACTGGATGAAACACAGGTCACAAGGTCACCCAGGCGATGCCAAATGTCTGTACCTGAAGGACTGGCACTTCACCAGGTGTGTCCATACTTCTATGTACTTTTCTTTTTCTGACACGTTCATTTTGTTAAATTTTGCACAAAAATATTTTTCATTTTATTTACTGTAAGATTTTGTCCTTATGTTACCGTAGTCCTATTTATTCCCTTTGGTTGCATAGGGCCTCAACAACTATCTACTACTTTGTTTCGTCTTTAGACTGAACAATGTAATTAAAAATTAAGATTATAATATAAGACTAGATTAAGCAATTAAAAATGTGTGGCTTGCTGTCAGTTTTCTGGGCCCAAGTGTCATGTCTAAGTATCAAGGTTCAAACATGGTTTGATGCTAAATGTTATTATAAGTATTACATACCTATTCAGGATGATCTAACTGTACACATTTTTCAGATGTTTCCCATCATACAATGCATATTCTCCACCTGCCTTCCTCTGTTCTGATTGGATGAATGAATTCTGGGATGTCCGGGATGATGTGAGTAACCATGACGACTACAGGTTTGTCTACATGGGACCAAAGAACTCCTGGACCCCCTTCCATGCTGACGTCCTGCACTCTTACAGCTGGTCCGCAAACATCTGCGGCCTCAAGAAATGGATCTTCTTTCCTCCAGGTCTGCACCCATTCATTATCCAACATGTTTACCACACAGTAAAATGAGGTTTAAGACATTACCGCCTAAAACTTAACCCTTACCTCTGTAATTATTTGATCCAGTCCACCCTAGATGAATATTACCCCAGGATTCTTTTTACTTTCTCTTATAGAGAAAGTCTTGTAATCGAGCAAAAAAAAAACGAGATTTTTACAAATCTTGACGTTTTACACCTCACTGATACGGAAAAACATAATTTTGCAATCTTGTCCGTATGTCTGTGTGTGCCTGTCTGTGTGTAAACATGATAACTTGAGTACCGTTACACCTAGGTTGATGAAATTTCATATATAAGTATTTTATCAAAATCGTAGATCCTGATCAACTTTTGAGCGATTTGAGTAAGAGATCTAATTCTCTACCTTCTGTCAAATTTTGAGTAATTTCCGTTGACCTGAAGTACTAATTTACGCTATTTTCGATTTCTCAAAAAACATGTAAATTTATAAAGTACTAATAATATTGCGCACTATTATGCACATTTTGTTTTGGCGTTCGCTTGGTGCGCAATTCTTTTTTCTATGAGATTCTATTCTGTTTTTAAAAGTTTAAGTAATTAAAAATCATGTCTATATTTCAAGTTATATAAGAATATTCGAGAAAGTTTAGGGGAGATCACTCCCGGTTTATTTAACTCCAGATCTGGACCCATTCATTCTCCATTATGTTTCTAACCACAGTTAGATGAGGCTTAGGACATTACCCCATAAAACTTAGCCCTTACCCCAGTAATTATTCGATCCACCTTAGATAAATATTCCCCCAGGATTCTTTTTTAACTCCAGATCTGAACCCATTCATTATCCATTATGTTTCTAACCATAGTTAGGTGAGGCTTAGGACATTACCCCCCTGTCATTTAACCCCCAGCACCGTTATATATACCATCCACCCTAGATGAATATAGCTTTAGGGAGATTCTTTTTTCAACTCCAGGTGAAGCATAGGGTCAATGCTTTTTTTGTCTGTTGCTATTTTTCTACATTTATTTTCAAGTCTTTCCAATAATTTTCCTGTCTTTTTCAACTTCTCCATGGAGTCCATGCTAGGTGTTTATGTGTCTCCCTCTTTTTCTTGACTCTAGTGGATTATATATGCCTTGTTTGTGATAGTTTTTTCAATATATGACCTAACCCTCCCCACTGTCTTTTCTGAAGTTCTTGCTCCGCTTGGATTTGTCCTTACCCATACTACTGGGGCTAGTTTCTTTGGAGGTGGGGGGGGGGGGTTAATTTCCTGTTCTCAGTTCAATGCTATTCATATTCTGTATCCAAATGGTTTCTTATCATATTGTCAAAAAAAATTTAAGTAAAAATTAAATTTCCTTTGTCTCTCACATAGGTGCTGAAATATATCTGAAAGACAAACACAGGCAGTTGGTATTTGACCTGCGCAGTGATGAGTTGGCTGATGTCGACAAGTACCCAGACGCCTTCAGGGTGCTGGAGGGTGCCATCACAGTGTTCCAGAACCCAGGGGAAGTTATCTTCATACCCAGTGGCTGGTACCATCAGGTGTTTAACTTGGTAAGTCAGGAATGTTGAGTTATCATCTTTTCCAGTTGGAGCCCAAAGACAAATTGTGCAGGTTTGTTTCAATAACCTCGACATACAGAAGGTAGTGATGTCAGCACTATGTCCAGCCACCTTTGCTCCCTGAATGTGAATCAGGTACCCATCAGAGCTATGTGGACTTAGGGATGTTCTACAGACTTGAATCCTGGATCCGAAACCTGAGATTTTCGGGTTAGCCGTCACAAGCTTTACCATCTGACCAGATGTTGAGTACTAATTGTATAATCCAAAATCAAGTGCTTCAGGTTACTGGGAGAGAGTGGATAAGCCTGGTGTAAATCACTGGTCTCACAACATGGGTGATAGAGATTCTTTAACCCATTGTGATCTGAAAGGCTCAAGAGAGATTGTTAGAGATGGTTTTGCTGTATAAGGCTGTCTGTCAGGATTAACAACATTGCTGAAAACAGTAATGCAGTTGTATATTTAGAGGCCATCTTGCTGATTCTCTTATAAGTAAAAACATCATCAGGAAATATGGTTTTTATAATACTAGAGATCTAATTTAAACAAAAAAAAAACAACCTAAAAAGATAAAAAAAACTAGGGAAAGTTTTGCTTATGAAACAAAGTTCCAATTAAAATGAACTATCTAAACTAACTTTGTGCTCATTTAGTATTTTTACTTACTTTATTGCTGATATATCTGTATAGTTACATGTTGTACCCTATTTTTTTAGATCCCTTCAAGCCTAACAACTGCACTTAATGAGTGAACTTTGACCTACCATGCCTTAGTGTTGTAATAATGTGAATACCACTTTGTTCACCTACCAGGAAGACACCATCTCCATCAACCACAACTGGATGAATGGCTGCAGCACTCACCTGACCTGGAGGTTCATCAAAAGTCGACTGGTCGATGTTCAGAGAGAGATATCTGACTGTAAGGGGGTTGATGGATGGGATGAGCAGTGTCAGGTAATCTTGACTGTAGGGTGGGGGGGGGAGAATGAGCAGTGTCAGGTAATCTTGACTGTAGGGGGGGGGGGGATGAGCATGGTCAGGTAATCTTGACTGTTGGGGTGGACGGGGGGGGGGGGGGAAATGAGCAGTGTCAGGTAATCTTTAATCTTGACTAGTGTGTGGGGGGGGGGGGGGGATGGAAGGAGTGAGCAGTGTCAGGTAATCTTGACTGTAGGGTGGGGGGGGGGGGAATGAGCAGTGTCAGGTAATCTTTAATCTTGACTAGTGTGTGGGGGGGGGGAGGATGGAAGGAGTGAGCAGTGTCAGGTAATCTTGACTGTAGGGTGGGGGGGGGGGGAATGAGCAGTGTCAGGTAATCTTTAATCTTGACTAGTGTGTGGGGGGGGGGATGGAAGGAGTGAGCAGTGTCAGGTAATCTTTAATCTTGACTAGTGTGTGGGGGGGGGGGGGAGGATGGAAGGAGTGAGCAGTGTCAGGTAATCTTGACTGTTGGGTGGGGGGGATGAGCAGTGTCAGGTGAAGTCTGATATGAGGAGGTGGGGGGGTTGATGGATGGGATGAGCAGTGTCAGATAATTTTGACTAGGATGGGGGGGGGATGAGCAGTGTCAGGTAATGTCTACTATAAGTAAGGGAGGGGAGGGGGGGGGTTGATGGATGGGACAAGCAGTGTCAGGTAATTTTGTTGGATAAAAATTATTTAAGATCCACTGAGAGAGTATCAGGTAGTGGTTATGTTAAGGTAAAGTTACCCTTTTTGAACCTGGTGGTCCATGGAGCAGATAAAGTAGAGTTCACCTGTTTTTTTTATTTTACCTTGGCATATGAAGAGATAGTGTGGTCAGAACTATGCCCAGCGTCTTTTACTTTTCACAACCTGAGTCAGGTACCCATCAAAGCTGGGTGGACTCGTTTGTACTCACTCCCAGGATCCAAACTCCATACTTGCTTTGGGTTAGTAGTTGTATGTTCTACCTTTTGACCACACTGTTCCATCAAGTAATCTCAGACAGTTCATTTAACATTCAAGGAAAGGTGTGTGTTATGATGCATGTTTGACTAGGGCTATGGGTGCGCATGATTGATGGTGCGGCCGTATATTGAACGAGTGAGTGTGTGACGCTGTACACAAGAAAGTGACGTTTTAGTGTGAGTTCCGTTGTTGCCGGGAAGAAGATTGAAGTTAGTCTTGTCCGTGTGATGTTAGAGTTAGGTTGTCTAGTTGTAGTATCGTGTGTTCAGGCTGTCCGATGTTTATTTATATGGTGCAATAAATTGAGTTAGTAACCGATGTCATTCTGTTAAATCATTCGTAAGCGTTGATGTCGCCGTGTCCCAAGATATACTATAGCATAGCTAAACATAATCAAATGGTGGTGATATGGAAAGATGGTATTGGATCAGGTAGTTGTACCCTCTCACTGCATAACTGTGGTACACATATAGAACTCAGCAGTTATAACAGTGTGGCTAAGTGTCCACCTTAAGAAGTTCTGGTCCACCAGCCTAGTTTGTAACTTCTTGAACTATTAAAAGCAACAGTGCAGTGGCTTAAGCCTGTCATATACATGGGCATTAGAATTGTTGTTTTCAAGTGAACTGATATTAATTGTTGACAGTGTTATATCAATGCCCTAATTTAACACAAGCTAGTGATAATAACTATTAAGCCTTAGCCATAATAAAGAGTTGAACTTGATAATAACTTTTACTGTTGTTCTATGTGAAATAAGTAAAAAGAAGGAGCTGTGTATCAGCCTACACATCTAGTTGGAGCTCTGTTATGTTACATGCAGTCATGGATAAATTCAACTCATTTAGTATATATTTTTAAATTAAATTTAATTACACCAATTTTCATGTTTGTAATCTATTTTTATTTTTAATATTGTAATTTTATTACTTGATTTTCTGAAAGTCTGTTCCTGTCTTTCAGATGATTCTTAAAGCAGACAGTGGCATCGATTACCTCGAGTTCTACAACTTTCTAGCAACCATAGCAGAACATCGTTTGGCACCTTTAAAGCAGTACATCAAAGATCTCCATATGTCCAGAACTGCAGGATCAAACAAGGCAGCAGACCACGCCAACAGTTTTATAAATAACCACACCGCTCCCTATCACTGTGATATTGTAAACAGTCAGAGTACATGTCCATCTGGTCAGTGCGGAGACGACCCCTCTGTTGATTGCAACCAAAATAATTTATCTTACGATTACCATTTAGCTGGTAGTAACCATGACAAAGTCCTAAACACTGCTCAGTTTTGTACCAGTGACACCCCCGCCTCACTGTCACATCTGGTCTGTGATGCTAACCGAGGTGATACTGTTTCCTTGTTGTCTTGCAATACGTGTATAAACTTCCCGGGTAATGAAGATGGATCTCTGTGTGATAGAATCTCTGAGAACAAAAAAATATCTCCGGCTTCTATTGGCGCCAGAGATGATTTTGGTTCAGAAAATTTTGTTTCGGGCTCCAATACTTTAGAAAATAAATATTTAAAATCACATTTTCTCGATAAAGTTGATGAAAGTAGCAATTCAGGTTTAACAGATTTAATGAATTGTATGCTAAAAACAAAAATGATAGATACTTTTGAAGAGTTATGTGTGGAAAGTAAAAAGAGAGTAATTGCATATTCTAAAAGTGAACAAAGTATGGATGAAGATGCTGTTGATAATTTTTGTTTCTGTCTTTTAACTGGAAAAATTATATGTTACAATGAACACATGCAGCATTATAAAAAAGTGCATAATTCTTCTAGCTTAAATGAAAAGACTGAAGAAAAAAATCTGGAATTGTCCGTGTTTGATTCACCTGATGATCATAAGGGTTGCCCACATTGGGCTCACTGTGGGCCAAATTTGGCATTGTTTGATATCAGACGTGTTTTTGAGCTAGTGAAAGATATGCTGGCCCAGGCTGAGTTCCAGACCATTTTAAATACACCGGAGTGTTTTGTCAAGCTGCGTGTCCACCCGTCTGATTTGATTAGTCAAATCAGCGTTGTTCTGGCTCAGTTGCGTCTAGTTGACTAGTGCTTGAAAAAAAATTGGGCTAAGCTTTAACTTCACTTTCATAATATTTAAGAGTTTTCTGTGTTGAAGCCATAATGGTACAAATTATGCAACAAGTTTTATTGTTTATACTTTTTTTAAAATCAAAGTTTATAAATTTGTTTTTATTGGGTAAAATAACTGTTTTTGTAAGTCATTTTGTAAACAAAAGATTTACATAAACAAATGCAAGTTTTGCATATTTATCTGAATCCTTCTTTAACATCAAGTCATTCATTGTGAAAATATTTATGTTTGTGTTCATTTTATCTCTAATTGAGATATAAAACATTGGACAGTAGTCTAATGGAACTCATTTTTTTCAATTGGCATATCAATATCAGTATTACATTTTTTAAAATGATAATTTTACTGAATAATTTCTAAAGATAAATTTTTTTCTTTCAAACTAGTCTCCAGTGATTTTACTTTGTTAAAATATTAATATAACTGGCATTTGTTTGAAGTCAATTTTTTAAACTATGAATTTTAAAAAGCACTTTATTTAAAAAATTTTCTTTGGATTTTTATTTTGTAGTTGATTTTTATATTTTATAGTTACTTTGGACTGTTTTTTATTCCAGTTCTTAATTTTTTTTTGTTCTTTTAATTAACCCCTTTACCGTGGAAATTTTTTTTTTTTTGGAAACTGTAATTGTTTTTTTTTTTTTCATTATTTGATTTGTTATGTTGTCCTGACAAAATAAAACACGTGATGACCTATTTTTATCATCCGCTGTTTAACTGGCTGTTAGATTAGCCTCCCTCTACCTTGTTATTGATTTCCAATGCTATTTTCATATCAAGATGAGTTAACTCGGGACGCACGGCACACAGATGACTTTTTTATCTGAAGACGAGTTAACTCGTGATGTACGGTTAAGCCCAAGATTTTATATGACGAGTTAACTCATGACACACGGTAAAGGGGTTAAGGAGCTTAATGCATAGGCCTACTAATGGAAAATTTAGGTGTAAAAATATATACCTGTATCACAACACATGATGTCTCGGCACGTAGCTTTAAGTTTTATTTACCTAATAATAAAACATGTACTGTATAAAAATGTTTGTAATACAAACTAAAGTACTTTACAAAAAAATTTCTTAGAATGTTTTGTTTCTGTAAAACCTAACAGCTTAATGCCTTGAACCTCAAACTATTTTATTTTGTTTTTCAACATTTACTGTTTCAATTATATAATAATAATATTAATTTCTATGGTATCTATAAATGAAACACTAATCTGTTTTTAATCTACATTTAGCATGTATTACATTTTAATAATAGCTTGAGCTATAAATAGCTTAAGAGTTTTTTAACCTAAATTTGAACTTTATAAAATGTTTCCTGCTTGTGACAATTTTGTGAATTGAAATCCTTTAATTCAACTTCATTTCTAAGTTAATTTTTTTTTTCAAGTTTTGTAAAATTTTATTTAATTGGTCTCATAAATTTATTATAAGGCAAAGAGTTTGAATTTTGAGATAATTGAAATGCTTAATACTGTGTTAACTTTCTAATGTGCATATATGGCTAATAATAAGTTAAAAGAGTTTAAACTACTGGGGCAGGGGAGGTAATTTAACAATTTTTGTGATATTTATGATTCCTACATCACATTGATATGTGTTAAGCTTGAGTTACCAAATCATGTAAAAATCGTAACATTAAGGGTTTAGTTAGCTGTGTAACTGTTACTGAAATCTTGATGAGTTGTAACAAGAGGATTTAGGATGCCGTCATTTTAAAATGTTTATTAACTTGCTACTCCATGATGCTAGCAAAATAATTAATCTATAATCCATTTAATGTATCACAAATTAATTACAAAAATCTATTTAATCCTGATACTTGGAGCATGTAAAACAATTGTTTCTTTTTAAACCCGGACATAATGAAATTATTTTAGTTAATCCTAGGCAAATTAATTATTCTTTTTAATCCTTAACTGGTTACATATTAGTCAATGATTATATTAATTTCTTGACTTTAATCAATTATTCTGTTTAATCCTCACACTGTAATTTGCACAAATGATCTTGACTTACCTCTTCACTTCACAATTTCTTTTTTACTTTTAAACTGAACACCTAACTTACTAAACAAAATCTATTTATAACCTGCTTTTATTTAACTGCTGCTACTGTTATCCACTTGTTACTGTACGCTTGGGCATTTTTTCCTCACCATTTTTTGGTGCGATTGAAATAGACAAAAAAGCTTTTAGTATGCACAAGCCAATAAATCATTGAACAAATTCTTGTTATTTGTTTCGTTATCTTTCTACTGCGTTCTTTAAATTCTTTAAATTGTAAAGTTGGACAGTTTTTCAGCATTTTAGTTAGACTAGATTGTTTTTAAACTGTTAGAAAAATGTATCAATAACTTTAACCCAGCTCCGGGAATATTTTTGGGAAAACAACACCCTTAAGAACACTAACTTTAATGGAGGTGTTAGAAAAAAATGTGTTTTCTATTTATGTGAGCGGGTGGTGGCGACATACTGTGACGAAGAAACTAATCCGGCAGGGGTAAAAAAAAAATCGTCAAATTAAGTTTGACTGCCCAAGTCATCACTTAAAAAGCAAAGAACAATGAGAGGTAGCTGATGAGGCTCGATAGCTGGTGACAGCAGCATATCTAGCAGAGAGTAGTTCAAAATCAAACAACTGAAAAGCAGGCTGAAATCGGGGTCAACGGTCTCAATGGCGCATAACCAGTTGACACGTATACTTAATTGTGTTTGAGGGGGATCCCTTCCAACACTAAAATTAAGAACGAAGAAGAAGAAACAACTGCTGCCCAGAGTTTCTTCCAGGCATCTCTTCGGGGTGGGGGGGGGGGGGGGCACCATAGCCCACCCCCCCCCCCCAAACGAAATGGAATTTATATAGAAAATATATACTTAAGACAGTGTCCGCCCCCCCCCCCCCCCCCCCCACTGAAAATTGTTGTCCGCTCAAGGTACACAGCTAACAGTAATATAAAACATGTAACATAACCTGGATTCGCTGAATGTCAAAACGATAGACAATTTTTATATATCGTCGAAGGTAAAAAAAATAAGTCGTGTAATGGAAACGGTGCTACGTAAACATGAGTTTACTTTTTAAAGTAGTGAGTTGGTTTGTTCTAGTAGCTAGTGATTTAGCATGTTTGACAATTATCAATCCATAGGCTACAATAAATTGATTTAGTTTATTTATTGTTCTTAATTAACTAAGCATTTTACATTGATGGCGTACGTTTTATCAGTAACTAAGCTATTGCATTCAAAATCAACATGACATCTAATTCCAAAATAATTGCAATACACATAGACATGCTCTCGTAGTCTTTTATGAATTGATTTGCCGATCGTAGAAGTATGTACGTTTTTTATTCGCATATATATATATATAGTTACATATTGAAAACAAAATGTTTAGCAGAGCGTGGTTTCGATCCACGGACCTCTGGGTTATGGGCCCAGCACGCTTCCACTGCGCCACTCTGCTGTTGAGAGACATATGTTTTTATAGCATTTTAAATACGTTGGATTAAGTTGTTTGAATTTCTTCGAAAGAAGCACATTGAACTTAATTAATTTGACGTGGAAATATCACACATCATATAACAAAAATTATGGAGCCTAAAACTAGTGTGTAAGATCTATGTGATGGTTTAACACATGTCCTATTTTTTGCTATTTATCACATGAATTACCCCAAATAAACTAAAGGTTTGTCATTAATCATGTACATCAGTCTAGATACTGCATTTAAAAGCATAAAACGAAATAATTTCTTCCAAAATATCCACATTACCTAAACATACTTTCACAATGTTATTATTTACAACTTTAACACAACATGGATTTAGGCAGAATTCTGTACATTTTCTCAAAAGAAAAAAAAAAGAAAAAAATCTAGCAGAGCGTGGTTTCGATCCACGGACCTCTGGGTTATGGGCCCAGCACGCTTCCACTGCGCCACTCTGCTGTTATTAATATGAACCGGGTTCAATCCATTTATCCTCTCTATATTACGCCGAGTGAAACGTCTACACCTTATCGGCTGAGTTCAACATTGAAAGTATTCTAGGCTCACAAGAAGAACAAGAGAACATGTTACTGGATTCTCAACCCCAGGAGTAATCTCAACTGAAGGAGACAACACTAAATGTTTCTCAAGAACCCGGAGACACGGTGAGTACTTAAGTTTCCTACTCGCAGTCCTCGGAAGAAGCTCACTCTTGCTGTTACCGTTGCCCGAGATAGTTTCACGCATGAGAGATTCCTCTACCCCCCTCGGATGGAGTTCAACGTTCTAGGCTCGTAGGTACAAGAGAAAACGTCAGCGGATTCTCAACTTTACAGGAGACAACACAAACGGTTTCTCTAGAACTTGGAGACTGTTGTTGAAGATCTTCGGGCAGGTAGTGGTCAACTCTCTAGCATTCCACTATTCAAGACAAAATTTTGTATCATTTATTATATTATATATATAAATAAATACATAAATAAATATATTATCTCTCTCTCTACTCTCTCTCTATATAGATCTATATAGAGAGAGTGAGAGAGAAAGAGAGAGATGGATATATTTATATGAATATTAATTCGTAAGTTTACATACAATGCGCGTACGTTCAAGGACGCAGAGGTTATAAAATGCAGTTAGGCTTACGCTGCTATTTTGTGGGGCGATACATTTTTGTGATACATTTAAATTTTAACTTTTAAATGTCTGAGAAACAAAAGTAGAAAAAAGAATTGCACACTAAGTGAACGCCCAATAAAATGTGTATAATAGTGCGGAATATTATATGTACTTTATACATTCACATGCGTTTTTTTTTTTGAGAAATCGGAAATAGCCTTCTTCTTCTTCTTCTTCGTTCTTAATTATTAGCGTTGAAGGGGATCGAGATTTATCTGCCGGTGGGTTTGAACTCGAGACTTTTTGTTCGAATTTATCAACCATGAGCTTTTTGCCGACTCGACCACGCCTCCAACACAATTAAGCGTTACGTGTCAACTGGTTATGCGCCATTGAGGCCATTGACTCCGAGGAAATAGCCTAAATTACTACGTCCGGTCAACGGAAGTTACTCAAAATTTGAAAGAAGGCTGTGAATTAGATCTTGTATTTATATGTGAAATTTTATTTATCTGTGTGAAATAGTACTCAAGTTATAGGCTTTTGAAAAATTCAAAGTAGAAAAAGTTCCACTTCCGATTATTGGCAATCACTGAAAAGTTGATACAGAGCTACAAATTTGATATAATTCTTATATATGAAATTTCATCAATCTAGCTGTAACGGTACACAAGTTATCGTGTTCACAGACACACACACACACATATATATATATATATATACACACACGCGCGGACATACGGAAAAAATTGCAAAACTATGTTTTTTTCCGACATAAGGGAGGTGTAAAACATCGAGATCTGTGAAAATCTGGATTTTTTTTTTTTTGCACGATCCTTCACCCGACCTCCAGGAAGTTATTTATATATTGACGGCCCTTATTTTAAAACAAATGAATTTAGGAGTTCCTTAATTATTATTTTTTTTTGCGTCTAATGGAATTTCTTATAATATTTATTTCAAATAATTTTAAAAAGCTGTTTCTTTAACTTGCTTCCTCTGTCTGTCGTGCTTTTGCCGCGCTTCGTCACGGATCGAAACTGCCGAGCGAAATTTTGATCACTTCTAACTACCAATTTTTCTTACACTTGGGTCAAGATCCGATGATAATGCAATCTGACATCAAATTTTACTTAACTGGATGCTCAGATAATTTTTGCCTATATAAAGTACTATTTACCGCACTATTATACGCATATTTTTAGAGTTCATTTAGTGCGCAATTGTTTTTAGTCATGCAGCTTTATTGTATTAAAAAGTTTGTATAATTTATTTTCTCCTTTCTAGTGCAAAATTATATAAAATCTTGTTATTATAACGTATTGTATTAATGTGATTTTTGTTCTTAATTGTAATGTTGGAAGGCATTACCTACAACACAGTTAATTAGTGTGTGTCAACATGTTATGTGCCATATAGACCGTTGACGCTCTCTAAACCTACATCCTCTACATCGTCACTTACCGTCACAAAAGTCCCCCACCCCACCCCATCCGTTAGTTTGGGATCATTTAAGTACAACATATTATTTGTTAACATGATGTTTACCGCAGTTTACTGAAGTTTTTTTTATGCAAAGCGAAGTAACTCCATCAAATTTATCGACATAATAAGCCTGGCTTAGTTATATCCCTTTATCAAATGGTAAACGCTCAGTTGTCATGCACAGAATGCGATGGCGTTTGGGTGGAAAAAAAAACTCGTTAAAAATTAAAAAAAAACAACCTCCTTATGTGTTTACGGGATCTTGTTCTTTTGACAAAATATATTATGCATGTATGTATTTATGTTTTCAAGACTGCGGTGTATGTTTAGATTTTTTAATTTGTGAGTTATTTAAATACGAGAGGGCTATGAGCAGTTGAAAACAAATCTGCCAACGTTTTAGGAGTACAAGAACAGAATCTTGAAACGCGTTAAATTATGAGCTATTCTTTTCAAAATTTTAAAATAGTTAACAAGATTATTTTTTTTTACATTGATGCCCAAGGTAGTTTGCAAAGTTGATGGTTGCGTTTATCTCAATGATAAAGAATTAAAGACATAAAGAGATCCAACCTAGGTAACTAATATATAAATAGATAGACTGTATCTGATGAAGGGTTTGTGTGTGTTTAGTGTGAACACCGCGTAGTGAGATTGTAGTGTGAACTCGCGTAGGACAGTAGCTAGTACTAGGTAAACAAGCGGGAGTGTGTTTTGACAGGTGCGTGGCCGAGTAGTGTTCATCGGGTGGATGTTATTGTTTTTTTTTAATATGGGGGGGGGGGGGGGAGAGGTGGTAATGGGTGGTAATGGAACTTAGCACACGTGTCATAAACTGTGACACGGTGTGTTCATGAGCGATTTAAAGTAGGCCTATTAAAAAAACAGACTGGTTGTTTTAGTGAAAGAGGAAAGCTCATGTCTATTGATTCATATAGGGATACTGCAAGATGAAGTAGTTATACTGTGTTTGATTTTGTTCTGAGATGTTACGTTTTATGAAGGTGTGCATTCTGTCGTGGATTAGGATTAGTTTTTGGGCTAATTGAGGACGCTTTTTAAAAAAATTCTATACTTCGTAACTGTCTGGTTGCTTCGCCATCATATAACCCGTCGCCAAGACGGCAAGTCAAGAACATGAAAACTCAAAAACGACAGGACCCAGTAACAAGATGGTCCTTCAATAAGATGACCCTTCAATAAGATGACCCTTCAATACGATGACCCTTCAATACGATGACCCTTCAATAAGAGGACCCTTCAATATGAGGACCCATTAACAAGATGACCCTTCAGTTAAAAGCTCATTAACAAGAGAACCCACCAACGAGAAATACTTTAAAAAGAAGATACCTCAACGAGAAGACCCGTCACCGAGAGGACCCGTCACCGAGAGGACCCGTCACCGAGAGGACCCGTCACCGAGAGGACCCGTCACCGAGAGGACCCGTCACCGAGAGGACCCGTCACCGAGAGGACCCGTCACCGAGAGGACCCGTCACCGAGAGGACCCGTCACCGAGAGGACCCGTCACCGAGAGGACCCGTCACCGAGAGGACCCGTCACCGAGAGGACCCGTCACCGAGAGGACCCGTCACCGAGAGGACCCGTCACCGAGAGGACCCGTCAACGAGAGGACCCGTCAACGAGAGGACCCGTCAACGAGAGGACCCGTCAACGAGAGGACCCGTCAACGAGAGGACCCGTCACCGAGAGGACCCGTCAACGAGAGGACCCGTCACCGAGAGGACCCGTCAACGAGAGGACCCGTCAACGAGAGGACCCGTCAACGAGAGGACCCGTCAACGAGAGGACCCGTCAACGAGAGGACCCGTCAACGAGAGGACCCGTCAACGAGAGGACCCGTCAACGAGAGGACCCGTCATCGAGAGGACACCGAATCGATGATCAGTCACGATAAGTATCAAAAGTGCTTAAAGCGCGTTTGTGTACACAATAAACAAAAAACCAACACATACAACCTCACTCACAACCGACAATCTGAGACAAAACAACCAACGAACCTGACACCACAAACTAACAAATGACTAACGAACGACAATTGACGAACGAATGACAACTTACCCACTAATAAACAACCAACCAACTGACAAAACCAACCAACGAACCTTACTAAAACCACTAATCGACAACTGACCAACGAACGACAACTGACCAACGAACGACAACTAACCCACTAATAGACAAACAAAAGAACTGACAAAACCAACCAACGAACCTTACTAAAACCACTAATCGTCAACTGACCAACGAACGACAATTGACCAACGAACGACAACTAACCCACTAATAGACAACCAACTAAAGGACACAAACCAACCAACGAACCTTACTAAAACCACTAATCGACAACTGACCAACGAACGACAACTGACCAACGAACGACAACTAACCCACTAATAGACAACCAACTAAAGGACACAAACCAACCAACGAACCTTACTAAAACCACTAATCGACAACTGACCAACGAACGACAATTGACCAACGAACGACAACTAACCCACTAATAGACAACCAACTAAAGGACACAAACCAACCAACGAACCTTACTAAAACCACTAATCGACAACTGACCAACGAACGACAATTGACCAACGAACGACAACTAACCCACTAATAGACAAACAAAAGAACTGACAAAACCAACCAACGAACCTTACTAAAACCACTAATCGTCAACTTACCAACGAACGACAACTGACCAACGAACGACAACTGACCAACGAACGACAACTAACCCACTAATAGACAACCAACTAAAGGACACAAACCAACCAGCGAACCTTACTAAAACCACTAATCGACAACTGACCAACGAACGACAATTGACCAACGAACGACAACTAACCCACTAATAGACAACCAACTAAAGGACACAAACCAACCAACGAACCTTACTAAAACCACTAATCGACAACTGACCAACGAACGACAATTGACCAACGAACGACAACTAACCCACTAATAGACAACCAACTAAAGGACACAAACCAACCAACGAACCTTACTAAAACCACTAATCGACAACTGACCAACGAACGACAACTGACCAACGAACGACAACTAACCCACTAATAGACAACCAACTAAAGGACACAAACCAACCAACGAACCTTACTAAAACCACTAATCGACAACTGACCAACGAACGACAACTGACCAACGAACGACAACTAACCCACTAATAGACAAACCAACCAACGCACCATAACAAACCAACGAACCTAACTTAATCACTACACGACCACTGACCAACGAATGGAAGCCCACTAGCCTTCAAGTCATAACAAGTAGCCGTCAAATTCCTAGCAGCGATGTAACTAGCATCGAAGTTATCAACGAACCAAGAAAATACTGACTACCAGTCAAGTAAACAACTAGGAATGTTGCAGTCAAAACATAAAAACCAAGCCAAACAGCAGTCAAGTAATTCAAAGAACTAAAACCAACAGCAAACCAAACAGACGTTAAGTCATGAAAAGAAAATTAAAAAGCTGTCAAGCAATCCAACCAGCCATAAAGTCATCAAAAGAAATGTAATGCCTAAAGGTCATAAAAAAGAACATAAATAACAGGTAATTTAACCAGCATTGAGCCAACTAACGTCAAGTCATAAATAGCAAGCCAACTAACGTCAAGTTATAAATAGTAAGTCAACTAACGTCAATTCACAAATAGCAAGCCACCTTAAGTCAAATCACAAATAGCAAGCCAACTTATGTCAAGTCTCAAATAGCAAGCCAACTTAAGTCGAGTCATAAATAGCAAGCCAACTAACATCAAGTCATAAATAGCAAGCCAACTAACATCAAGTCATAAATAGTAAGCCAACTAACGTCAAGTCATAAAAAGCAAGCCAACTAACGTCAAGTAATAAATAGCAAGCCCACTATTGTCAAGTCATAAATAGCAAGCCCTCTAACGTAGAGTCATAAATAGCAAGTCAACTAACGTCAAGTCACAAATAGCAAGCCAACTTAAGTCCAGTCAGAAATAGCAAGCCAACTTAATTCCAGTCACAAATTGCAAGCAAACTTAAGTCAAGTCACAAATAGCAAGCAAACTTAAGTCAAGTCATCAATAGCAAGCCAACTAACGTCAAGTCATAAAAAGCAAGCCAACTAACGTCAAGTTATAAAAAGCAAGCCAACTAACGTCAAGTTATAAATAGCAAGCCAACTAACGTCAAGTTATAAATAGCAAGCCAACTAACGTCAAGTCATCAATAGCAAGCCAACTAACGTCAAGTCATCAATAGCAAGCCAACTAACAAGTCATAAATAGCAAGCCAACTAACATCAAGTTATCAATAGCAAGCCAACTAACGTCAAGTCATAAATATCAAGTCAACTAACGTCAAGTCATCAATAGCAAGCTAACTAACGACAAGTCATAAATAGCAAGTCAACTAACGTCAAGTCATAAATAGCAAGCCAACTAACATCAAGTTATCAATAGCAAGCCAACTAACGTCAAGTCATCAATAGCAAGCCAACTAACGTCAAGTCATCAATAGCAAGTCAACTAACGTCAAGTCATAAAAAGCAAGTCAACTAACGTCAAGTTATAAATAGTAAGTCAACTAACGTCAATTAACAAATAGCAAGCCACCTTAAGTCAAATCACAAATAGCGAGCCAACTTATGTCAAGTCACAAATAGCAAGCCAACTTAAGTCGAGTCATAAATAGCAAGCCAACTAACATCAAGTCATAAATAGCAAGCCAACTAACATCAAGTCATAAATAGTAAGCCAACTAACGTCAAGTCATAAAAAGCAAGCCAACTAACGTCAAGTAATAAATAGCAAGCCCACTATTGTCAAGTCATAAATAGCAAGCCCTCTAACGTAGAGCCATCAATAGCAAGCCAACTAACAAGTCATAAATAGCAAGTCAACTAACGTCAAGTCATAAATAGCAAGCCAACTAACATCAAGTTATCAATAGCAAGCCAACTAACGTCAAGTCATAAATATCAAGTCAACTAACGTCAAGTCATCAATAGCAAGCTAACTAACGTCAAGTCATAAAAAGCAAGCCAACTAGTCTCAAGTCACAAATAGCAAGCAAACTAAAGTTATGTCACAAATAGCAAGCAAACTAATGTCATGTCACAAATATCAAGCCAACTAACGTCAAGTCATAAATAGCAAGCCAACTAACGCCCAAATCATAAATAGCAAGCCAACTAACGTCAAGTCATAAATAGCAAGCCAATTAACGTCAAGTCATAACCAGCAAGCCAACTAACGTCAAGTCATAAATATCAAGACAACTAACGTCAAATCATAAATAGCAAGCCAACTAACGTCAAGTCATCAATAGCAAGCCAACTAACGACTAGTTATAATTAGCAAGTCAACTAACGTCAAGTCATAAAAAGCAAGCCAACTAACTACAAGTCTTAAATATCAAGCCAACTAACGTCAAGTCATTAACAGCAACCCAAATACCGTCAAGTCATAAATAGCAAGCCAACAAACGTCAAGTCATAAATAGCAAGAAAACTAACGTCAAGTCATAAATAGCAAGCCAACTAACGTCAAGTCATAAATAGCAAGCCAACTAACGTCAATTCATAAATATCAAGATCACTATTGTCAAGTCATAAATAGCAAGCCAATTTCAAGACAAAAATCACATGTCAACTAACGTCAAGTCATAAATAGCAAGCCAATTAACGTCAAGTCATAAATAGCAAGCCATCTAACACCAAGTCATAAATAGCAAGTCAACTAACGTCAAGTCATTAAATAGCAAGCCATCTAACGTCCAATCATAAATAGCAAGCCAACTAACGTCAAATCATAAATAGTAAGCAAACTAACGTCATGTCAAAAATATCAAGCCAACTAACGTCAAGTCATTAACAGCAACCCAAATACCGTCAAGTCATAAATAGCAAGCCAACAAACGTCAAGTCATAAATAGCAAGTCAACTAACGTCAAGTCATAAATAGCAAGCCAACTAACGTCAAGTCATAAATAGCAAGCCAACTAACGTCAATTCATAAATATCAAGATCACTATTGTCAAGTCATAAATAGCAAGCCAATTTCAAGACAAAAATCACATGTCAACTAACGTCAAGTCATAAATAGCAAGCCAACTAACGTCAAGTCATAAATATCAAGTCAACTAACGTCAAGGCATAAATAGCAAGCCAACTAACGTCAAGTCATAAATATCAAGTCAACTAACGTCAAGTCATAAATAACAAGCCAACTAACGTCAAATCATAAATAGCAAGCCAACTAACGTCAAGTCATAAATAGCAAGCCAATTAACGTCAAGTCATAACCAGCAAGCCAACTAACGTCAAGTCATAAATAGCAAGTCAACTAAATTCAAGTCACAAATAACAAGCCAACTAACGTCAAGTCATCTATAGCAAGCCAATTAACGTCACGTCATCTATAGCAAGCCAACTAACGTCAAGTCATAAATAGCAAGCCATCTAACACCAATTCATAAATAGCAAGTCAACTAACGTCAAGTCATTAAATAGCAAGCCATCTAACGTCCAATCATAAATAGCAAGCCAACTAACGTCAAATCATAAATAGTAAGCAAACTAACGTCATGTCAAAAATATCAAGCCAACTAACGTCAAGTCATTAACAGCAACCCAAATACCGTCAAGTCATAAATAGCAAGCCAACAAACGTCAAGTCATAAATAGCAAGACAACTAACGTCAAGTCATAAATAGCAAGCCAACTAACGTCAAGTCATAAATAGCAAGCCAACTTCAAGTCAAAAATCACATGTCAACTAACGTCAAGTCATAAATAGCAAGCCAACTAACGTCAAGTCATAAATATCAAGTCAACTAACGTCAAGGCATAAATAGCAAGCCAACTAACGTCAAGTCATAAATATCAAGTCAACTAACGT